TGTCTTTTTTTGTGTATGCAACATCGGAGTTCATTTCTAGCCAATCTATCCTAAGTGATTAACTAAATTCAAACTCATCATAACACTGGTAAAAGCACAACTTAGAATTGTAGTCAATGTGTTACTAAGTGTCTGTCCCATCTGGAGACGTCTTCTCTAAATCTAAAGTGACCCTGCCCAGTGGCTTGAGGTGGCCTTATTTATACAACTATCAAATCCTAGACAAATGTGATCTGTTGACTGGCCAAAACACAAGTTACCTCTCTCTGTCTAAAACCTAAACCAAGACCCAGTCCAGCAAATATGGACTAAGTGCTATATCTGTAAGGATACATCCAGCCACAGCTAGAAAGAAAGAAAAGGAGAAATGAGAATCATGTAACTCCTAAAAAACTGAAACAGCAGTTCTACTTCGTAGCAAGTTGTCTTCTTTTGTGAGTTAGTGTGAGTGGGTTTTGGTTCATCACAACTAAACGGCTTCTGACAGTGGATTTAAATTGTATTCTATTGTAGGAGTAGCTGGCCAAGTAACCAAAGCACCTAGTTCCCACTAAGGTAGTCTCACAGTACAGACTGGCATTCTGAAAAGCTAATCTCAATTTCTACCTGGCCAATAAGGCCCAGAAGAGTATCTTTTTAGTGTTGTTGTTTTTTTCTGTAAAGAGCTATAAACGGAGGTGATTTTAAGTGAAAAAGATATGAGATTTCCTTTAAAATATTCCGAGAAAAAAAGTTGACTAAATGAAACAAGAACGATAGTATACTCTTAAGTGCCATCAAGTCAGTTCCAACTCATAGGAACCCTGTATAGGGTTTCCAAGAAGCAGTAGGTGAGTTTGAACCACCAACCTTGTGGTCAAGTGCTTATCCTATAGCGTCACACCAGAACTTCTAGGGCAATTTCATAAGGCTATTCTATTGTAATTATTTGAAAATTTCCATCATAAAAATAATTAAGATGCAAAATGCACTCGCACAAGAGTGGGGTAATGTACATCTTTCATAATATTTGCTTCAGAAGTTAAGCTGATAGTTGTAAAAATTAAATTCTAGGTAATTAGATTTCCTTAAACTTTGAAGAAAACTATACTCAAGGTGTTGAGAGAAGAGGTAGACAGTTTAAGTGAATTTAGTCTCATTTGTCACAAATGCCTGCCTGGCTTTTGGGAAGCCTTCCCCGAAACCATATAAACTCCATCTTTTAGTTCTGATGGAGTTCAGCCAGCCAAGGAGGCCCCTCATCTTCCAGACTGGACACCTGAGGGCTGATGCAGATACTAATTTGGTCCACCACCTGTTCTCTTTAAGAAAGTTTAATTGCACAGAAAGTATTGTCCACCTGCTTCTCCTGCAACATGGTAGATGATTGTTGTGACAAAGTAAAAAAAAAAACAAAAAAACACTAAACATTCTACCAAAGAAAACCCTATAAGTGTAAAATGACTGCATTTTAATAGCAATCTTTCTGAGAAGGGATTGAGAACACGGTTTAGAATTAAAAAACCTACAGTATGCCACCTACTCTACTTTAACTACTAGATAATTACAAAGGTATTTCAGTAGAAGAAAAATGTACCACCTGGTAATTTTATTTATTTACTCTTCTTTCCATTGTCTGGAATTTCTATAACCTTGCTCCGAAGATGGTACAGAGCAAGGCCTCAAACCATTTCAAATGTTGTTGCAAGCACTGTAGTAATGCACTGGGTCACTCCAGACCCGAGCACGCTGGAGGCTTGCAGCCACTCTGAGAGTTTTACCTCAATCTAGTGACAAGTCTGCTTCTTAAAAAATACAAAGCATTACCAAAAAAAAAAAAAAAAATTACATTAAAAAATGGGCAGAGGACATGAATAGACATTTCACCAAAGTAGTTCAGGCAACCAATAAATACATTAAGAAACACTCACAATCATTAGCCATTGGAGGGATATAATCAAAACAACAATGTATATCATCTCACACTAGCATTAATAGCAAAGGTCCAAAAAAGCAGTGTAACAACAAACACTGGTGAGGATGTGGAGGGACTGGAACCTCATAGGCTACCAGGGCAGCCACAGTGCAAATAGTAAGGTGCTTCCTTGAAAATCTGGAAATAGAAATACTGTACAACCCAACAATACTAGCTATTGCTGTTGTGAAGTGCCGTCAAATTTCTTCCACAGTCCAGTGCTGATCTTACAGAGCGAGAAATAAAAGCCATGAGAGGAGCAGATGCGCTCGCACTCATGATTTTTGCAGCATTATTCCAAATAGCCAAAAGACAGAAACAACCTAAGTGTTCATCAACAGATGAATGGATAAGTAAACTATGGTACAGGCACACAATGGAATACTATGTACCATCAACAATGATGTAGCTGTAAAACATATCCTAGAGAACAGTATTCTGAGTCTAGCCAGCTAATCACAAAAGGACATTGTATGAGACCACTACTGAAAAAAGCCAGGAAAAGGTTTACACAGAGAGAGAGAGAAACACGTTTAACACTTACCCAGGGTAGGAGGGGAATATAGGAGAAATCCCTAACTAAAGGTAAATATGTATTTACTTGGGTGAAGGAAAAAGCAATCTACAACAAGGAGGAGGTCAGTACAAAAGAATCAAAGCAAAGGGAGACACTGAGAGGAGCACAAGAGTTAATGACAAAAAGGTAAATCCTGCTACATATCCAGTCCTGCAAGATAGACACTCATACTGAACAAGGGTGGGAAGACTAAGGATACGACACCTAAGACATATCTAGGTTTGACACAGAATATTTCTACAGACATATGAATTTATTATATGTGCTCTAAATATATTTATGAATACAGTAGAGCACACAGGGAGCGAAGTTATCAGAACTTTTTTAGCTATAACCAAACACCTTGAGGGAATGAGTTGCTGGACCCGAGAGCTCAGACCATAATCTTGAGGACACCAAGGTCAACTGGTATAATGACAAGGTTCTAAATCCTACTTTGGTAAGTAGTGTCTGAAGTCTTAAAAGCTTATGACCTGGGACCATCAAGGGAGAAGAGCACAGTGCAGGACCCTACCCAGGAAAACAGTGATGCCAGAGATGGAGGCAGAGACGATGACATGGAGAGATGGAGAGATGGAGTAGCTAGGGACTCTAGACCTAGAGAGGGAGTGTGCTGACGACTGGGGGCCAGGCTTGCAGGGTATACCATTTGGTTGATGATGCATGGAAGGGATTGTAACCATGGCAATGAAACAATTTACGATAGGATGAATGTAAACCTAATGTTCTCCCATGTAAACCATCACATAATTCACAATAAAACATATTTAAAAAAAAAAAATGTGGTGTAAACCTGACAATTCCTGAACTTTGACATAAAAATGTAAAAGTATGTGAAGAATGTCATAAACAACATTTAAACTGACTGTGTACCTGTATATACTGTGAAAATATGTATCATTAGTCTTAATAAACTAGCCTTGAAGCATACATTGCAAACAGCCTCCCTAATCTTTAACCCTGGAGAATGATAACATTCAGTGTCTAATCATGTGACATTATCAACCTATTAATGCTGACACTTTCCAAACAGGAGACCCTCCCAGAGGAGTAGACTAAGACTCTGCTTGACACCACCTACTTCCGACTTCAGGTACAAGGGACTGCCTTCAAGTTCAAGCACTGGTCAAACCTTCCTCTGTAACCCTCCAATTAAGGGTAAACACATACCTGAATTCTAAAACTTGGATTACAACCACTGAACATTGTAATTGTTAGCCCTAGTTTCTAGTTCTGAATGAATGTCATTCATGATTTGCCATAGCTAACTTGCAATAAACTAAATTAGTTTATGTATGTCAAAAAAAAGCTTATGAGCAGTCATCTAAAGAGCAACTGTTGGTCTCTCCCATTTGGAGCAAAGAAGAGTGAAAACAATTAAATGCACACAAAGTCCTGAGGACTAATGGATCACGTGAATCCTAGCTCCTTGATATAGGAGAAGAAAACTTTGGAACAAAACTCAAATAGTAATAATAATGAAAGCCCAAGACTACTAGTCTGATGGAGACTAGTGGGACTAAAGAAGCCCTTAGACGGTCTTCAGGCTGAAGACTGAACTCAGATAGGCCTATAAGGTGAATAATAACACCAGGTAGATAAGTGCTCCTTAGAACAATCAGCCATACAAGATCAAAGAGCTGCATTTCCCCAAAGATAAAACTCAGAAGGCAGGAAGGGATAAGAAAGAAGATGAAACAGAGTGGGAAGAGTGTTGTTACAATATGGGAATTGCAATCGGTGTCACTAATCAAAATTTTTATGAATTATTCAATGAAATACTAATATGCTCTGTAAACTTCCACCCAAATAACAGTAAAATGTTAAAACTAAAAGTAGTGTGTTGGCTCATGAATTTACACAGTAATAGTGTAAGTAACAAATGCCCAGGAGCAATCTATAAATTGCACCTCCCCTCAAATTTCAAGATGAATACATGTTGACAACTATAATATGTCAAGAGAACAGCTTTCCCCAGTTTCGCCCAGCTGCCTCAGTCAGGCACCTTTCATATTTGTGGTGACTCAAATGACATGCCACACCCCCCACCCCCAATTACTCCTCTGTTCTGTGTCCTGTTGACACTGCCTCCATCTCTGAGCACCACCATACAACACAAAGACTATCCATCTCAAGACAGTATCTTACAAAGGAATAGAGACTATGGTGCTGCCCCACCCAGAATTCCTGTTTTCTAATTAATTATTCAAGTTGTTTACTACATGTTGTTGTTACTGTTGTTAAGTGCTATCAAGTAAGTTCTTACCCACAGCGAATCTGTATAGGGTTTCCAAGAAGATGATGGATTTGAACTGCTGACCTTGTGGTTAGCAGTCCAATGCTTATCCTACAGCGCCACCCTAGGACTCTTTGCTGTATGGCAGAGCAGACTATGAAATGCCTGACTAAAGAAAGATACCAGCATCTGAGGGTGTCCCATGGAAAGATACATTCTGAAATACTCTTTACCTGCAACTGTTTAAGTTGTGTGCAGAGCTCATTGTTTTCTTGTTCCTTTTCTTCTGAGAACTGGGCTTTTCGGAGGGCATTCTCAAGGGCTTGCCTTTCCTTCTCAAGTTCTGCTTGAAGGGCTGACTGTTCTAACTACAGGAAGCAATGAGATGAAAATGTAAAATAATAATCATTTAAAATCTAAAAAGGCATAGATTGATTTGCACATAACATAGTCCCTTACTAATCAGTTATATAGTAACTCAGTATTTCTATACTCTCAACAACATACATGACAGTTGTGAGGATGGTGCAAGATAGGGCAGTGTTGTTTTCTGTTGTGCACAGGGTTGCTGTGAGTCGAAGCCGACCTCATGGCACCTAACAATTTAAAAACCTAACATTTTTTTCTCATTATGTCCTCTTAAACTATTAATATTTAATGAGAAGCAAGCATGGTGTGATGCTGTGGGATAAAGCAGTAGACTGCAAAGTCGTTTTTTGAGCCATAAGGTCAGCGGTTCAAACACACCAGTCACTTCTTGGAAACCCTATACAGGGTCGCTAAGAGTTGGAACTCACTTGAAGGCACTTAACCACAACACAACAGGAAGCATCGAAATCAGCTCAGACCTGACACACCAACTTTAAAAGCTCTGTTAGTAATACAGCAATTAGTGATTGAACAATTACTGCTTTGTTTTCCCTAGGAGTCCTCGCGTGCTGCTGTAGGATTCAAACCCACCAGCCGTTCCTTGTTCCTTGTAAACCCTATACAGGGTCATTATGAGTTGGAACCGACTTGACAGCACATAATAAAAACTCCTTTCCTTTAAACCAGTATTGCTCAAAGTGTGGTTCTCAAATACCTGTATCAAAATCGCCTGGTGTGCTTATTAAAAACGCAGATGCCTAGACTCTACCTCAGACTCAAGGCATCAGGATCTCTAAGGTGGGGCCCAAGAACCTGCATTTAAAAAGCCTCACAAGAGACTTTATTAACTAAAGTTAACCAATCGGAGATTTGCAGACCTAGAAACCAGGGAAAGAAATCTATTATGCTACGTATTCTCAACATGTGGTTAGAAGATCAGTCCTGAGCTTCAACAGCAAGTGAATTTGTCAAGATGTTATGAGAAAACAATTAACAGTAAAGGACAGAGGAAGTATAAAAGACAATACAAAACTAGTAAAGGCCAGCGTGAAATTAAAAGAGAAGACTTTAATTTCAAAGACAATGCCATCCAGAAATTTTAATGACTATTATTTAAAATCAGAGTCAGCAGTTGGAAACTACCAGCTGTTCCGCGGGAGAAAGATGAGGCTTTCTGCTCCTGTAAAGATTTACAACCTTGGAAACACTGTACAGAGTCACTATGAGTCGGAACAGACTCCACGGCACATTAACAACAACATGCATCTAATGCCATTCAAAAAAATTTTAATATCATTTTAATTATTGTCCCGCAACCTCCTATTTCCTCAGACTTTGATTTTGCTAACCATCATGGCTCTGTAGGATAAGTACTGGACTACGAACCACAAGGTCAGGGGTTCAAGCCCACCAGCTGTTCCATGGGAGAACGATAAGGCTTTCTGCTCCCGAAAAAGATTAAAAGCCTCGGAAACCATAAACAGGGTTACTGTGAGTCAGAACCAACTCCACAGCACTTAACAACAACAAACTACATAAAACGTTTATTGCCATCAAGTCGACTCCTACTCGTACCAACCCTTATAGCCTTTCCAAGAAGCAGCTAGTGGGTTTGAACCACTGACCTTGTGGTTTACAGAGCCACACCAAGATTCCACATAAAACATGTTAATCTGGGAAAATATGATTCTGACACTGGCAAGTGATCACCTAATAGGGATTTTAATGAACATAACTACTGATGTGGCACTATGGGTTAATGCACATTTTGACCCTTCTCACGTGCCAGGCACTGAGAACACAGAAACCAGCAGACACAATCTGAGCATTTACCATGCTGAGTCTATCTGGAGAGAATATCTAAAGAGATGATTACCCATCACCATGGTAAAATGCCTTGAAACAGCAAAGGTAATGGAAAAACCAGAGTGGTGTACTGAACTCAGTGTTTCAGAAGGTAGAGGGGGAGGTCAGCATGGGCTACCTGGAGGAAAATGCAGCCTATGTGACTAACAGCCTAATTTTTAATCTTATAATGAATATGCTATAAATGCTTACTCCGATGAAATGCATTTCAACCTCATTAGACTCTCCAATCCCCAGCACATTCTCTGTCCTTTCTATTTTCATGATGAATTTCAACCACTCCATTAGCCATTATCTGAACTGCTCAGTGCTACTGATGGATGGATACTAGATCTTCCTTCCTCGTAGCTGTTCCTGGAATATCTATCACAGCAGGAGAAAGTTACTGCTACTGGTCACATATGTGCCCCTATAAATTGATGGTAAACAATCCCAATCGAGTCCTCAATAGTACTCAGCAACCCAACTATTATCTAGGTCCATTTAGCTTATATTCGCTAATATTTTCTTCCTGGACCCTCCAACCGTTACTTCTACTCATCTAAGTCCTAAAAACCCTATACAGGGTGGCTATGGGTGGGAATCAACTGGACAGCACTTAGCAACACCACCACCCTCCTCAGCAGACAGCCTTGTTCTTGCTTCTGTTCAGAGAACAGAAACCAATAGATACACATTTTCCAACTCCTTGCAAATAAAACCAACCACATGCTTTTCCCCTTCTCTCTTCTCACAATGAAGGAGTTGTCCTTTTGATCCAAGGCTCAGCTCTATGATGAATATCAACTCTATTCCCTTCTGTCTTCCTAGGATTTTGCTACACTAATTATTCCATGTCTCACTCCTTCAACTTTAAACTAAACTTTAAACTATAAAGATGTTCATGTCCCTCTCATCTTAACCCAAATCCTCTTTCAACTGCACATTTTTCCTGATTCAAATTAATTTCAAGCTACTAGCTTCTTTTCTTCTCTCACAAGTCAAAGCCTGTCTCCATCTCTTTACCTACTGTTTGTTCACTTCTCAACCCATTCCAAACTGGCTTCCATCCTTACCACTCCACAGACACTGTACTCATCAAGGATATCTATAGTCTGTGCATCACTAAGAACAACGGGCACTTCATGGTTCTCATTCTGACAGAATACTCACAAGCACTAGACTCTGCTAACCACGCCCTCTTGGAAACAATCTCTTCCTTTAGCAGCCCAAACACTACAATCTTCTGCTTCCTTCCTTCTTCTTGGTCCCACCTTCTTGGTTTCCTTCAAGGCATGTTCAATTTGATTCCGACATTTAAATACGGTTGTTTCTCAAGGGTCTGTCCTAGACTCCTATTTTTTTCACTCTATCTACCCTGTTTGATGGTGGTGGGTGATGGTATGCCATGGAGTAGGAGTCAACTCATTGTGACCCTGTACAGGGTTTCCAAGACTATAAATCTTTACAGGAGCAGAAAGCCTCATTGTTCTCCCATGGTGTGCCTGATGGACTTGCACTGCTGACCTTGTGGTTATATACCCTGACCTTGTGGGCATATACCCTGGTTGTTAAGTGCCGTCAAGTAGTCGGTTCCGATCCATAGCAACCCTGCATAGGGTTTCCGAGGCTGTAAATCCTTACGGGAGCAGAAAGCCTCATCTTTCTTCCGCAGAGCAGCTGGTAGTTTGGAACTGCTGACCTTTAGGTTTGCAGCCCGATTCATAACCACTTCACTACCAGAGCTCCTTGCTTAGATGATCTCTTTATGGTCAAGGCTGAATTTCTCATCAATATCTTTATGACTCCCAAATCATTACCTCTGTCCAGGTCTTCCTTCTGAGCTTCTAATCCATAGATCTTATGACTGAGTTAATTTGGACACCTTCGTAGATGCTTAAAGTATACCCTGCTCACATGGAGTTTATCACCTTTCTGCCAAATCTATACTTCCATCATTCTTACTACTTTTAGTTAATGGAACCACTATCCACCCAGGTACTTGGGCCAGAAATCTGAAGAGTATTCTTAACTCCTCCACATCCTGTCAATCCTACCTCCATAACACCTTCTGAGCCTGCCCATTTCTAGTCATACCCACTACTGTCATCCTGGTTCAGGTTTCCACCATCTTACGTTTGTCATTGTACAGTCCTCTGAACAGACCTCCCTGCCTCCAGTTTTGCTCTTCTCCAAGCCATTCTCTACTCAGCAATCATAGTAATCTTTTCAGGAACATAAATTTGATGACACCATTTTTCCTGATTCAAATGCTTCCTCTAAGAATAAAACCAGAATTCTTAGCATGACCTTAAGGATCGATCTGACCTCTGCCCACTTCTCCAGCCTCTCTCGCTCACCTCCTTTCCCCATTCCCCTTGCTCATGGCATACTGGAGTCATTCTTTCAAAATCTTAAATGCAGTATTTTCCTTGCCTTTCTGTATAGATCACTCATCCTCTACCTTTCTAGTAGCTTTACCTTCAGCATTATCAGCTCCACAAGGACAATAACCATGGATATATATACTATTCCCTACAGTATCCCATAGCACCTGGCCCTCTGTGGTCAATCAGTAACTATTTATTGTATGAATAACTAGTTTTCTAATTTACAAGTATAATTTAAATTTGTGTTAGTGGGTATTTCATTCAACCATATTAAAAAAAAGCAAAACAAAATTTAACATCAACTTAAATCTCTTAAACCTATTCTGAAAACAACTATAACCTAAGGACTATCAACTGCTAGGTCCTTTCATAGTCATTAACTCACTTAACCTCATCCAATCTCCTTGTTGAGGAGAAACAGGATTGGAACCATGATGTGATCTGCTCACATGTACACACACACATACACACACAGTAGCAGTATTTGAACTCAGAATATTTGACTTCAAAAATGTATCCTTCACCTCTCTCCATTAGATGCCAGATGCTATTCAGTCAATTTCAATTCATAGCAACCCCATAGAACAGAGTACAAATGTCCTGTAGGTTTTCTTAACTATCATCTATAAGAAAGCAAACTGCCAGGTATTCTCCCATGAAGCTTCTGGGTGGGTTCAAACCACCAACCTTTCGGTTACAGCCTAGTGTTAACCAGTTGTACCACCAAGGCTCTCTATATGTTGTATTTTAATTCTATATGAAATAATTGTCTTCAGTCTTAAGGTATAACTGCAAAAAGGCTGATTTCTTAAGGTTACTTTGTTTCTGAAATGGCTTTAAGCTTCTACTTACCTGGCTAAGCCTCGTTACTCTTTCCAATTCTTCCTTAAGCTGGTTGGCTTCAGCATCCCTCATTCTTAGTTGATCCTCCAGCTCTGCCTCATAGGCACTGAGATCTCCCTGGGTCTGCTGCAGAGATACATTCACCTCGTGCTGCTCCTGGAGGGCCGTTCCGAGCTCTGCAAGCTCCTGGGAAGATTCAGTGAATGTTTAAATACGGAACCCTCACCGCCTGCTTAAGCATCTGCAAGTCATCATAGTAACATGAGCACTGTGAACTGCATGCTAGCCAACCACTGCTATTTTGGCACAGAAAGTTTTCATTACTTACAAGATGATCTTCTGGCTGGGCATATCCAGCTTGGAAAACAAAACCTTGATTTAATGTAATTGAAAAAATGAGAATGCTATCACCCTCTTACGTGATGCTTTAAATGAGTCTGAATATATAAGGACAAAGGAAGAAAAAGAAAGAGGGAGGATAAAATCTAATTTTTCACCAGATATTGAACTGAATGTTTTAACATTCATTATATCATTGAATCATCACAATAAAATTGTTCAAGGCAAAGTATTATTATCCCCATTTCACAGATAAGGAATAGAAAAGAAAATTTTAGTAAATTGGAGAACACATGGATGTTCTTTCAACCTTTTTGTAAGTGCAAACATTTTCATAATTTAAAAATTTTATTAAAAGATTGGACTCATGGTGTGAGTCCACAGGATCAGTTCTGGGCTGTGAACCACAAGGTTAGCAGTTTAAACCCACCAGCTGCTCCTCGGAAACCCTATACAGGATTGCTATGAGTCGGAACCAGCTTGATGGCACTAAACAACAACATTAAAAGATCATATTAAATTTTATTAAAAGATGGGGAAAAAGACCATTTCAAACTCAGAAGATTGGCAAGTACAAATTTAATATTGAAAAAATGTTAAATGTCTTGAATTTGATAATTATTCTCTACTTATACAGAAAATGAAATATTTAGGCAACAAAACAAGTCAACAAGTAATTCTCAAATAGTTCAAGAAAAAATTATATAAAAGTATCTATAAAATCATGTCAAAATTATAGGAGATGGCTTTAAAAAGTTCATAGAAAAATGGAGTTAAAAGGTAATGGAATTTTTCCACAAACTCTTTGAAGCCTCTCATACATGAGTGTGATAAAGCAAATGTGAAAAATGTTAACTGGTTTAAGTGAAGGGTATATGTGAGTTATTTCTATTATTTTTGCAACTCTTACGTTATGTTCGAAATTATTTCATAGAAAAAGCTTAAAAATATAAAATAAAAACTGCAAAACACTATGGTATTGAGAAGGATGTGGTGTAATGATAATCCTCACACAGCTGATGGAAGTAAACATTGATAGAAACTTTAGGAATAGTAACCTGACAAGATCTAGCTCAGTTCAGGATGAATGTACTCTCTGAATGCCAGTTCACTTCTGAATACAGTCCCCATGGACAAGACATATGCCAGGAGGTTACTCCCAGAACTGTGTAACAGTCTAAGAGTGGAAACCACCAAAATGTCCCTGGAGAAGAATAGATTTGCATGTACAAATAATACAACACTACATATATCAATAAACATAAGTAAACTGGAGCTACATGTATGTGCATAATTCCAAAACAAAAATATGAAGAAGAAAGTACCCAAAGAACATGTACACTATAATAATCTTTGTTGTTTTTAATAGCCATCAAGTCGGTTCGGACTCATAGTAACCCGACATACAGTTTCTGAGGAGCAGCTGCTGGGTTTGAACTACTGACCTTGTGGTTAGCAGTCTAATGCTTATTCTACAGCACCACACCAGGACGTCTATAGATAAAAGCACATAAAATAAAAGAATAGAGATGTAAGGATATAGTTATTACATTCAGGATTTTGTTACCACTGGAAAGAGAAGCGCAGAATTTCAATGTTTTCGTTCTTAAAGCTGGGTTGTGGGTATATGATATTAAATATTATTTTTATATCTTTTGCATGCCTGAGAAATTTTATAATATCAAAATATATTAATTCAGATTTCCAGAGTCAGCTTTACTGAGGAGGTTTTGAGATCTATGGTTCTCAAACATGATGTTGTTGTTGTTTTTGTGTGCTGTGGAGTTGGTTCCGACCCATAGTGACCCTGCACAGGATTTCTGAGGCTATAAATCTTTACAGGAGCAGAAAGCCTCATCTTTCTCCTGTGGAACAGCTGGTAGTTTTGAACTGCCACCCTTGACGTTAGCAGCCCGATTCGTAATCACTACGCTATCAGAGCTCCTTTCATACATACTGAAGGTTGCCAAATAGTTACAATTGCCCATGGAAACTCCAAATGAATGAACAACAAGTATAGAAAGATTGTAATTTATAATGCTGTGTCTGTCTTATTAGTTGTCAAATATACCCACTCCTCACTTACTGCCATGCTTAGGTTCCAAAGATCAGGCAGTTATATGATAATCAACATGCAAAAATGACCAGATCAAATCACAAAATACAGTAATAAATTAACTGTCAAATTTCATCATCACATAATTGCCAAACTGCATCATTAATAACTGCTAAACTGCTGAGAATTATCTCCCAGCCAAGCTGACATTTAACTTTAAACATCACAACCAGCATTACTCTCACCTCATAACTACTGCCGTACATACATTGTCAAAGTGCAAAACAGGTAGGTTTTTCCCCACCCAGAACCTTCTGAGGTGGGACATTTCCACTTGAAAGGACATGGTGACCAACTCAGAGCGACTAGAGGAACAGGAAAAAAAAACTGACTGCTTGGGTATGACAAGAACAAGCAAGCTGTTTGCCTAGGAACCATCAAGACAAGCCATCAAATTCCATCCAGACAAACCCTCTTCCAAGACTGAAACTCAAAGGGAACACACAAGTAGCATGTAAGCTTGCTGGTGACCAAGTTGGTGAGTGGAAGTGGGGGAAAGGCAGCAATGAAGACATGGACTGAGTTCAACCATGTTCCATAGACTCCTGTCAATCTTGAGATGAAAGAGAGAAGAGGAGGGGCTGATTTGGCCCAAGTTTGGGGGGACTTATGAACTTCTGAGCCCATGGACACTGACTGACCTAGACATGGTGGACTAGAGATGAGAGTGAAGCATCCAGCTTATATGAAGTGGGGGGAGGCATTCAAGAATGCCTGAAATTGCAGATAGTATCCATTTGACATAGCTTGGATGCCTTGATGATCAGAACTCAACTAGAGGAAGATAAAGAAGTTTGGTATAGGAAGCAAATGTAAATTGCTACAATTTGATGAACTTGACCTTTGCTTATGGATGTTGCTCAAAATACCAACTGAAAGAGAAGTAGTCTTCACCTCAAGATCAAGCCTATCCTCTCAGTACACAGGATTGATAGGGATGGGAAACTTAGACATTGGCTACAGCGGGGCTATAAAGGCACCAAGTGATTGGCTTGCATGTTTTCAAGAGGGAGTTTAGCTTAAGAGCAAGCAAAAGAAGGTAGAATCCCCATTGAATAGTTTTCGTCTTGTCTAGATGGATCTGGTGAAAGGAGATGGGGATAGGATTCTTTTGATTCAATAGTGAGTAGTTGTTATCATGACTAATTGCCATTGTCTACTGTAAAGGGAGAAGGTGTGTAACAAAAAAGGGGGAGTAGTTAATCTTACATTCCAGGAACAGAGGACCCTAGGACAATCAAGAAAGAAGCACATGAGTGGAAAGTGAAACGATATCTAGAGAAGCAGCTGACACCAGAGATAGAGGCAGAGGTGATGGTATGGAGAGAAAGAACATCTGAGGACTCTAAACTCATGGGAAGAGAAAGGCTGTGTGCTGGCGTGAAGGAGGCTGGCTTGAAAAATGTGCCCTTTAGTTGTTTAAACGATTATACATTACATTCCTGCCTCTTTTTGCACACATTAAAAAAAAAAAAAAGAGGGAATAGAGGCAAAACCTGTTAACCGATGGTGCATGGAGAGAATTATAATCATTGCAATGTAACAAAATACAATTGGTTGAGTGCAAAGTCAATATTCTCCCATGTAAACGATCACTCCATTCACAATAAAAGCTTTTTATAAAAAAATTTTCTTACTATTGTTGTAAATGCGAAATGTCTGATAATGTGATAGTCGACAAGTGGGTGATTATGTCAATGCTATTAACAACAGCAGCAAAATATTAATGTTGTGCTTAATTTTGTTATAAAAATACTAACATTTGAACATTTAATAGACCATGTATAATAGCTACAATTTTATATATATAACTTGTCAAGTAACTTTGGCATTATTTGATAACAGTACCTTTCAGCAATAAAAATTTAACTAAAATAATCCTCTTTTTCTTAGTAAAGGGAAAATAATGATTTCAAGTATATTATCTCCTGGTGTGGCACTGTAGGATCAACACTGGACTGTGTGAACCACAAGGTCAGGAGTTCAAGCCCACCATATGCTCCTCAGGAACCCTATACGGGGTCACTATGACTGTGAACTGTCTTGACAGCACTTAACAACAATAGCTAAAGAGAGCAAGAGAGAGAAAACTTAAAATAACCAAATAGCCATGAAAACTTTTTAAAATGTCTTATTTATTCCACTTTCATCTTCGTCCATGAATACTTTCTGTCACTTACAACTACATCATTTCTAATCTCCTTAGCTAATTTATATATGGATATCATCTACATCGGTGGCTAAAAAAAATAGGCAAGAAGAAACAAATCATACCTTTCTCATATTTTCTGCATCCATGGCAACAATTTCTAGTTGGTTTCTTTCCTCTTCAACTTTGGTCAGTCTCTGTAGCAATGCCTCTTTCTCATCCTGTAGCTTCTTGCAGTCATTCTGGGCCTGAGTTGCTTGTCCTTTGACACTCTGCAAATACTCTTGCAAACCACTGATGACACCTTCTAAATCCTTCTTGAGGGCTTCATTTGCGGCTATCTGGCCTTCGTATGATGGAAGAAGGGCAGATAACAATGCTTACAAGATATATAATTACTGCATTTAGTATCCTTAGCTATTTGTTGCGAGCTAGAAATGAAATTCTAAGCTCTCAATTTCCTGAACCCACTTTCATATTTTTATTTTCTAAGAATAATGATAATGTATAGCAAAACTGAGTTCTTAACTGCTAGATGTTGTTGTTAGGTGCCATCGAGCCGGTATGGACTCATAGAGACCCTATGCACAACAGAGCTAAACTGCTAGATGGGCAACACAAAATCACTTAATGTATACAACTAACCCAACATTGGAAGCATAGACATATACCCACAGACTTAAAAATGAAACAGCAACAACAACAATATGACATGTTGCCTACTGTATGCCAGGCACTTTATGAGCACCCTCATGTAAACCTCCCAAATGATGAGCAACCTAGAAATTGTCCAAGTCACACAACTGATAAGGGCCAAACAGGGACTGGGACCTTTTTACAGGGAGCCTAGGCTCTCACCATTACAGCCTATTATGTTCCTCTTCCACGATTATTAAAATGTCACAAGCTAATTCACTACAAAAGTTAACCCTAAAATACTTTGTAGACGCTCCTTATAACTAGACACTGAATGCCGTGACATCAATGGGCTTTCTGTTCAGGAAAGGATGTTTGCGCCATGGAAGACGAAAATCACATGACAGAGTTTAATCACTGTCGTGTACAGCTGATCCTCATTGTTGGCGGATTCTGTCATTGGGAATTTGCCTGATCACTTGTATTTATCTGTAATCCCAAAATCGATGGTCATAGCACTTTTGCAGCCATTCACAAATGTGCACATGCACAGTGTGGCAATCAAAGTTAGTTGTCAACGCACATGTTCCCAGCTGAGGTGGAACAAGACAATACTAAGACTGCCTCCTTATTTCAGGCTCTCATACTAGAAAAAGAAGCATCATTTTCATGGTCTATTTAGTGTCTCATTTTTTGCATTTTCATGCTTTCTGTTACTAACTTTGCTGTTTAGGATGGCCCCAAAGTGTAGTGTTGAAGTGCTAGTTAGTGTTTGCAAGCTCAAGAAGGATGTGACATGCCTTACAAGAAAATACTTGCACTACATGAGCTTCGCTCAGGCATGTTATAGTGCTGTTGGCTACAAATTCAATGTTAATGAATCAAGAAAATACATTAAATAAAGTGTCTTTAAATAGAAATATACATTAAACAAAGTTATTTATTTGGTCAGTTGACAAAAAATATGACTAGAAGCGCACAGGAACCTATCCTGATATTTTCTCTAGGAGCAATGGCTCAGTATTCACTAATTCTGAGTTAAGTTCACTAAGTAGAACGTAACTACTGCAAATAATGAGAATCTAATCAATCGACTTCTTCCTTACTGAATAGAATGACTCATAAAGACAGAGATGTTGTTGTTGTTGTTAAGTGCCGTCGAGTCGGTTCCGACCCATAGCGACCCTGTACAGGGTTTCCGAGGGTGTAAATCCTTACGGGAGTAGAAAGCCTCATCTTTCTCCCGCGGAGCGGCTGGTAGTTTCGAACCGCTGACCTTAAGGTTCGCAGCCCGAGAGATATAAGAAAGCAAAACTAAGAATCTTAAAATTACATTAAGCACTCTGGGGAAACTGTACATATTTCACTACCAAATACTAGTCATTGTTGTAAATGCTGTCGAGTCAGTTCTGAGCGGCTGGTGGGTTCAAACTAAGTTTGCAGTCCAGTGCTCATCCTACAGCACCACACCAGAACCAACAGCTAAATCCTATTCAGCTAATATCTAAATGAATGCCTATCCGGGTGTCATCTAAGAACCCTGGTGGTGCAGTGGTTAAGGCACTCATCAGAGCAAACCAAAAGGGTGGTGGCTCAAAAGGTCTATGGGAGACAGGGACGGCAGTCTGCTTCCCTAAATATCTGTAGCCTTGGAAACCTTATGGGGCAGTTCGACTCTGCCCTACAGGATCGCTGTGAGTCAGAAATGACTTGGTAGCAATGGATTGTTTTGATTGGGTGTTATATCTCTTTCATCAACACTAAACAAATTTACCCTTCCATACTTAAGTTCTCACCTTCAGTAAGCTGTTGCTCAAGGTCCTTAATCTCTTCAGTTTCCTTGGCAATTCTAGAAAGTATGTCATCCAAACGGCTTTCAAGTTGTTTATACTGTTTGTTCATTATGTCAAGCTGTTGTTCTTTACCCCTTTTCTGAGCTGTCATATGAGACTGAGTTGCAAAAAACAGAACAGAAAAACAAACGACCAAAACCTCAGGTTCTTTATGCATTCTTAAAAATGATCATACTTGACACTATTTTTAAAGGAAGAATGGAAAACAAAATTTAACAATTTCCATATATTTTGGTTCAGGTCTTGTGTCGTTTTCATTTAAACCTCGTAACTTACCGTGGGAATCATCCCCATTTTACAGAAAAAATGAGGATCAGACACCTAGTAGGTAATATAGTGAAGTTCAGTGCTCTTGTACTGCATTACAATATATCTTTTTAGAAAGGCTCTCAAAAAGTTAACTGATTATGTTAGAGTCCATCAAAAAGTATTGCTACTAGTGTTCCAGTTCATACATGCACAGGCATATTATAAACAAAATGTGTCTAAGCATGTCTCTGTGATTACTGGATGGCTACTGAAAAGTTCTATCAGTAATACACTTGTCTTAGTCTTGCTAGGGAACCTTCACAAAAAAAGGTCCAATCAAAACTTGTGGTTAGCAGTTCAGTGTTTATCCTACAGCGCCATATACCTATATCCATAAAAAAGACAAAAAAATATACTCTAAAATGTTGATTATATCTGGATACAAGGATTACAGGAGATTGTAAGCTTTTAAAATACTTAAACAAAACTATAAAAAACAAATAGTACCTTTTAAATAAATTAAATGTACTTTTAAAAAGTTTCTTAGGGGAAAATATTGAGACACGAAATAAGCAAATGTTTACCTGGAATTCAAATTTGAGCAAAGAACCATTTTAGTTTTAGCTTTGATAAACTGGAAGCTGACAAAGACCTCCCAGACCATTGTGACCAGTGATTCTTATAACGGAGAGCTCTAGGGAGATAACCCTTTCTACTACTCCTCATGGTGGGAAAAGAGAGCTGACACTCACCACACACTGTCTCACACCCTGACCATCATCACATTACTGAACCACTGCTAATGAAAGGAGAGCACTGTACTTTTCAGGTGTGCTGGGGGGAGAAAAAAACGAGAACCAACAATCTAGTCTGACTATCTAACCCTTCATGTTACACGTGAGAAAACTGAACTTCAAATCCATCAGAGGAGTTGCCTGGGTATCCTTAGGCAACTGTTCATATGGAGACAAAATAATTCCCCAGAGAACCTTTACCCTCCTGCTCACTCACACTCTCATTGTTATAGTTTGCCCCTAAAGGATCAAAGGAGTAAACAATAAATAGAGAAAAAGTTAACAGAGGAGAGACTGTTCCACAGTCAGACAACAAAGGCCACATTTCTCGAGTCTAAGACCTATTTGATTACAAAAGAACATTCCTCAATTTTAGATGTCTATTATCCCTAAAATACAAAAAAGTAAGACTCTTCATTTTTGAAAAACGTATGACTAGCAGTTTGATAGGGATTTTCAAAACTTTTCTTCCCCCCTACATTCCCAAAACACCCATCTGAAATCTTTCTGAAAAGGTAACTGCAGTTAACAGGTTAAATTCTAAGAAAAGTTATTTATGACTCAAGAAAGAATAATAACACAACTATTGCACTCACATCAGTATCAAGAAATCTTTTAATAGTCACCATTAAAAATTCCACTGAAACGGTCTTACATTTGGGCCAAAAATAAACTAGTTCAATATACCAATATTTTGCCTCGGACACCTGGGAGCAAAAGTTGGTTCAGAGATCTTCTGTACTGTGAGCCCACAAAAGAGCTGCTACAAAAACAGGAACTTACATCTCTGGCTCCTCCTCCTTTTAAGTCCTTTGTACAGTGAGAGAAAGAGAAAATGATCCTACCTTAATTTAGAATTGGTCCTGTGAAAACTGGGTCGCTGAGAACAGAGAAATTGTGGGCGGCATGCTTTCTAATGCCATCTTCAAATTCAAGTGCACTCCCCTTTCTGACAGCCACATTTTTTAAGTGTTTCAGAGGCTGTTAACTTCCCAGCGCTTCAAACCACATTCCTAGGAGAGCGTGTGCTGCAGCCCAGCCTGTCCAATCACAAGCAGCCTTTACGGGCAGACCCCACCCTCTGTACTTTAAATCACAACACAGGAAGCTCCTGGGGGCCAATCACATACAAACTTTGCAACAGATCTCTACTGGCTAATTTCCTCTAGAGAACAGTTACCTTTTGCATCTATAAGGCATTTTCTGATAGTGACGAGCAATACAAATACTCCTTTATTGTGTTTGCTCCTAGTTACCAAAATCTATATAACGGAAATGAAGTTAGATTTTTAAATCCACCTTTTCCTTTTGAAACCAAGTTAAATGCTCTTTGTTGAAAACTGACTAGGCTAGGTTCTGAGCTAATTTAAAAATAATTAATCTCTTTAGACCTTTAATCTTTTGAGGGATGGGATCATTGCAGTATCATAAGCTTGGGCTCTGACCTCTTTCTAAAAGGGTGACTTTAGACAAATCCTTTAACCTTTCTAAATTAGCTTTCATCATCTACAAATTGGAAAGAAAGAAAGAAAAGGAAATAAGGCCACGAGTTCACATGGATGCTGTGATAAAATAAAGTCTTCATCAGCATATGCAAAACACCCACCACAAAGCAAGGTACATTATGGACATTTAATGTTTTGTTTGTTTCCCATTACATGTATCATCAGTCAAACGCTGTTTTTTTAATCTTTTACCTTTAAATTTCACTTGCTATTAAGAAAGATACTTCATCTGATTAGATAATAAAACTTAACTACAAGTCTACCTACATTTATACAAGCACATGAATGAGGTCCCACTCTTAATTTCCTTCCCTCTAACCAAAATGCTGACGTTTTTTGAGCTAAAATGGAATGTCTGTCACTAGACAATAAGGTGACTTTGTGCAAAGTAGAAAAAGATGCTCCCCCTTGGTGGATGAATGAAAATAAATTAAAAAGTCTCCTCTGGCTGCAACTTTAAAAACTACTCTCTAGTAGTTTTAATAAAATCAAATAAATCTAGCGTGTATACTTCCCTCTCACCGGCACAAATTAATTGTGGCTACCTTCAAAACTTGGAAGCCATTCCTACTTCCCATTTAGCTCCATTATGAGTATATGTGATTCTTTACAAAAATCCAGTGGGAATTAAACTCCTTGTCTGCTAAATGGAGCCCTAGTGAAACCAGGGATTAAGCACTAGAATGCTAACCTGAAAGGTAGCAGTTCATATACGCCAGCTGCTTCTCAGAAGATGAGGCAGTCTGCTTCTGTAAAAATGTACAGCCTACGAAACCTGATGGGGAAGTTCTACTCTGTCCTGTAGCGTAACAATGAGTTGGAATTGACTGACAGCAGTAGGTTTATTTCATTTTTTTTGGTCTGCCAAAAATATCAGTCATTTGTTGAAAACAAACATACAATCCAGATTCAAATTAGACCATAAGATCACAGAGCTTGAAGGGGCAGCAAAGGAGCTTTGGGTTCAGTCTATAGGCAGGTTCCTTGATCATTCTATTTCCTTGATCATTCAAGAACAGAGAGTTGGCCCCTGGGGATACAGATAGCAGGAGGATACCATTCTTGCCCTCAGGGCCCTTGTAAGGAATTAAGTTTTCTGAACAAATAAATGCAATAAAGTAAGGTATGTTGCTGAGGTGTTAAATGCCTTGTTAAATGGAGTCCTGGTGTCGTGCTGTTGGATAAACATTAGACAGCAAGGTTGGTTTAAACTGCAAAGTCATTCATAGAGACCCTGTATATGGTTTCTGAAGAGTAGTGGGGTGGGTTTGAACCGTTTACCTTATGGTTCAAACTGACCTTGCAGTCCAGTGCATTATCCTGCAGCACCACAACAGGACTCCAAGTAAGGTATTGGGACCATACGATAAATGGCTTAAGAACTCTGATTTTTTTTCATGTAACAAAAATTCCTTAAATTTGTAATCATGACTATTTTTGGTGTTATTTTCTGTCTCAAATTTATTGTAATAAAATGTATATAACAACTCTGCCATTTTTAAACATCCATTTTAATACTAAATCTTAGGCTTTTGTTGGAAAAGACTTTACACCTGTGATGGTAAGGTTCTCCTTTGTTAAAATAAGCTGACCTACAAAAAATATCTATGGTATTTTAATAAAATATTTACATCATAATGAATAACTTATGAATACTTAAGTAGAATACACGTACAATGCTAAATACACTAAATACTATGATTATTCTTAGCCCAATAATCTTTTAAAAACACTTAATTTTATTATTCTAAGTATTGCAGTGGTCTAAGTGCCATCAAGTCAATTCCTGTATAGTTTTTAAGGGGCACCTGGTGAGTCTGAACCACTGACTTTGCAGTTTAAACCAACCTTGCTGTCTAATGTTTATCCTACAGCACCACACCAGGACTCCATCAGTAAAATATGCTTACTTCTATTTTAGAATTATCAGCTAAAAGATAGCTACTAGGAAGACTTCTCATGTAGAGACAGAAGAAACCAGACCCTAACTGCATCATCCTGCCACCTGACCACATCTAACCACATTTCAAACAGACACACTTTAGAGAAATGTCTTCTTTTTAAGAATGGAGGTGGTGGTTATGTGCCGTGGAGTCAGTTAAAACTCAGTGTGACCCTGCATATGATATCCAAGGCTGTAAATCTTTAAGGGAGCAGAAAGCTTCATCTTTCTCCTGGGGAATGGTGTGAGTTTCAGACTGCTGACTCTGAGGTTAGCAGCCCAACTCATAACCACTATGCTAAGACAAACCAAAACTATCTAAAACAACAGCTAGCTTGAGTAGAATATTTGCAGAGATTGCATTAAGGATTAAAGAAGGGGTAGGGCAAGGACATTCAACTTCCTTTCAGCTCTCTCATCTTACCACCTTGTTTTTAACAAAAGAAAGAAAAGAACGCAAGAAGAGAGAAGAGGTAAAAGAAGTTTGGAGATTTTTTTTTTTTCCCCCAGTTTTGGAGATTATTTTGGAGGTTTCTCCTGCTCTGAAATACAATGAAATTGAACCACTGAAGGAAATACATATACCATGCATATATCATTCTACTGAAAGCCACTTCCTTAAAGCCCTCGGTTGCTTTGTTCTGTACATATATATGCACATCCGCATACATATCACTCAAATTTGTCCATCAAACTAAGAGAGACTTTGAGAAAGGACACTGAGAGAAAAACGATGAGCTAAAGACTATCTAGATAGAATGATATTCTATCCCTCATAAAACAAGCCAACATTTCTTGATTTACTTACATGTTTTGGGTCTTCAGAATCCAGACTACTGATGACTGTTTGCAGGTCCTTAACCTCCTTTTGCTTTTCGGCAAGTTCCTGTCTTTGCTTTTCCATTGGCATTTCTAGATCCAGAGCTTCCAGGCGTAATTTATTTAGAAGCTGTATCCTTCCACTCAACTGCTTGAAAAGAAGGTCTTTCTCTGCTTCTGAAATCTAATTTCCCCACAGCCAACATAACATTCAATTAACAGGATAGCAACACTGGTTTACTAATTTAAAGAAAACAAATTCTAAAATTTAAAGAGAGTTTTATTCTCTATTAGTTTTTTAAGTAAACTGTTAGACGTGATCCACGTACTCCATTCAGATCTTAAACTTTTATGTGTTATATGTAAGAAATCTTATTTGATAAAGTTTATGAAAATAATATAGTAACAAGTATAAATGAAGTTTTCATTCCAGTACAAGCAATTTAGAATTATTAATAATAACAATAATATTAATGATAAGCCAGTGGCCATCGAGTTGAATCTGACTCATGGCAACCCATGTGTACCTGACTTTATATAACATTTACTATGTGCTGGGAAAATTCTAAGCTCTTTACATACTTTAGTTCTCAAAACAAATACAGTAGAAAGTATATTTACCTAATTTTACAGATAAGGAAATTGATTCATAGAAAATTTAAGTAGCTTGCCCAAGTTCCCATTATTAGTAGGCAGTGGAGCCAAGACTTAAACCTACCAACTACACTGCAGTCTTCTGTTGTTAAGTGCTGTCGAGTCAGTTCTGACTCATAGCGATCCTATATAGGGTTTCCGAGGCTATAAGTATTTGCAGGAACAGAAAGCCTCATCTTTCTCCCTCAGAGAGCTGGTGGGCTCAAACTGCCGACCATGTGGTTTGTAGTCTAGTGCTTATACTACAGACACACTGTGTCTTCTAGCTGGTAAAAATATTACGATAGTTAACCAATAAATTCTGAGTACTAGTTTAGAAGCAGTAACTTTAATACCTTATCTTCTATTTCTAATGTTTTTAAGCAGAGAAATTTATACAAAAGAAGAAATAAATCTTTAAAAACCTATGTAAATTTTTTTTAAAAAATACGGATGCAGAAAAGACTGGAAAGAAATGAGATATTGATAATGTAATGACTGTCTGCAAGCAATGAGACTGTTGTAGTTCTTGACTCTTTAAACTCTTCTATATTTCCAAAGAAGTGCTGGTGTGGCACTGTCAGAAAAGCACTGAACTGCTAACTAATTGCAAGGTCAGTAGTTCTACCAGCTGCTCCTCAGAAACCCTCCACAGGGTCACTATGAGTCAGAATCAACTCAACAGCACTCAAAAACAACAATATTTCCAAAAAGGAATCCTGGTGCTACAGTGGTTAAGCACTCATTTATTAAACAAAAGGTCATCAGTTCAACCCCACCTGCTAGTCCTCAAACTTGAAAGATGAGGTAGTCTGTTCCCATAACTCTTACAGCCTTGGAAGCCCCCTAAGGAGCAGTTCTACTCTGTCCTACAGGGTCACTCTGAGTCAATGTCAACAGGTTTATATAGCTCCAAAATCTTTCCCATAATCACGATAGCTTTATAATCAGAAAAAATAAATTTAATTCCATGTCGACTGGTAAAATCACCTCACAGAACGGAATTGTAAAACTACAGCAAACTCTCATTAGACTGAGATCTTTATTTTACTGACTTGAAAAATATGAATAAAAACAAGGCTGCAGCTTACATTTGTCATCATGTCAAACAAATTAATACTGCAAAGAAAACATATTTAACTCATTTAAAAGAACATTTTGTAAGGATCCATTTATGTCCAAATTATTACATAGACTATTTAAACCTATCAATTTAGCTATATAAAACTTTGACCAGTACTACTATAAAAGCCATATTTGCCTTTTAAATTTATTCATTATTCCATAATTATTTAAGCAGCACTGATTCAAAACTATTTTCCATGAAAATGAAGGGAACAAACATTTCACTACTGCATTTCCTCTTAGCCTCATTGTTTTGTTTTTACATACTTTTTTCAGTTGTTTAGCTTCTTCCAGTTGTTTATATTCTTCAGTAGCTCTTAAAATTTGTTGTTCTGCCTTTTCTATTTCATCATAAAGTTCTGCTAGCCGTGTTTGTGCTACAATTTAAAAACAAAGGTTAACATACGTACACAAGAAAAACTTGAATTCTGAAATTCCTACCGTATAGAATTTTTTCTTTGTAATTACCTCCCAACTAAATTACCTCATTATAGATCACAGGAATACAAAAAGTAATTTCTTATGGTGGGTTTTAATCTTTAGAGCAAAATTTTTCATGATATGCTTATTGTCGTTGTTAACTACCATCAAGTTGTTTTCAACTCACAGAGACCCCGTATATAGGATTTCCGAGGAGTAGCTGGTGGGTTTGAACCACTGGCCTTGTGGTTAACAGTCTAGTGCTTACCCTACAGTGCCACAGCAAGACTCCTCATGATATGCTATGGTTCTACAATTGAGCTTTTTCACTCAATTTGTAAAATTCTTAACATAAAAGGGCTTTTACTCAGTATTTCCAACACTACAGAACCTTTCAAAAGAATAAAGAATTTTATTTGTATAATTATTTGGTATACATGCACTTACATGTTACTGGATCATAATTAGATTCAGGGTATTAAAAAAACAACCACCCATGCTTGAGGCAAATGCTTTATTACTGGGTTCAATATCAAGAAACTCACTACTGTATATTTTTTCTAGCTATAAGGTATCTCAAATCAGTTATTTACTACCTCAAATTTCTTTCTCATGCCCTCTCTCCTACAAAACTATATGCCCCTTGATACTAGTCTACACATATATCTGATTTATCTTGCTGCCCCACCACAGAGCTTTGCATAATACATGCAGACAAGAAGAACTTGGGCTCTTCTCTCCTGTCTTCAAGTCAGTCTCTACTGGCCTGCCACATCTTGTCCTTAACCATCAACCAAGGGAAGGGAAGGTGCTCATCTGACTGGTGAGTGGGCCATGGCTACCAGTGGGATGCGAACACTCAGGTCTGTAGTCTCCATTAGCCCAGTGCATAAAGTTGACTCAAAGTGTGTCACTGATAGGATCTCTAAAGTGCCCTCTTAGCTTGACTTCTTCCTTCATGTGACTTCCCTACAAGGTGTACCGTCCCTGAATTAGATACCTTTCCCTGCCTTGGGCAATGTGAGAGGAGCAAAGGTGGGAAAGTGAAGTGGGGGGTAGGTCAGGGAGAGCAGGATATCAGTCTTCAGCCTAGGCCTAAGGACAATGTTTGATCCAGATTATCCAAAGTGCTGCTTTAGGTGCTGGCTGCATGCATAACAATCAATAAAGTACTTTACTTGCTTCAAAGATTACTAATTATGTCTTTTTGTATAGAACTCCAATGGGGAGCAGGGCTGGGTGGCAGGGCAGGATTAGATCCTCTAGACATGATAACTATCAATTCACTGTCAAAAACCCATCCTTGACTCTAAAAGGGATCATTAAAAGAAACTGTTTGGATGAAACAATACTTTTAGACTTTTCATGTAAAATAACAATATAATGAATATCATAAACATGTTGAAAGATTAAAAGAACTCTGAAACAAAAATTACCTACATACTACATACTCAATCTTTTTATATTTTTAAAGAATTTAGAAAAAAAGATTTTTAACCTGCACTTATTTTTGTCTCTTTGTCTTCTAGTTGTAGATCCAGTGGCGCTTTCATGTGAGCATGCTCAGTTCTCAGTTGTTCCCCTTCAGCTGGCTCCATCTTCCTGACCTGCACTGGCTGGGCATTATCAATAATGTAACTCTCTGTGGTGAACATATTCCTCTTGTATCTGGATTTGCCAATGTAAGGGCTTTCATCCGGGGCTTTATCAACCTCAACATACTGAAAAACAAAGGAAATTAACAGATTCATGGCATGAAAAATAACTTTAAATCAATCAAATGGCGTTATTCATTTTTATTAATGGAAAACATCACACAGAAGTATCAGCATTCATACTCAATTCTAACTACATATCTAAATCAAAAAATATACATTATACTTTTTTCTTATTGTTAATACATCAAAAAAGAATTAGCCCTGAAAATGGTCTCAAAAAGAATCCCTCTACCCCAAATAGTGAAAGAGTGTGGACTGTCTGAGTAAAGAGCTGTCCATAACGATGTGAGTTTGAGGAGAAACCTGGATTTTTGTTTATTTGTTTTCTTGGCTGATATAAGTAAGATCTCAGTATAATAAATCTAAAAACTGGATTTTAAAATTGCATAATGTATGATAACAGCATCATTAGGTTCCAATGGCATATCTGAAATAATATGAAACCTAGTGACTACTGTTGTAAGGCCACTGGGCCAGGCAGTATACTTTTTCCTGTAAGCCGTCTGAATTGAAGAGAGCTGCTCCACCTACTCTCTGAGGCTTTGTAATTAATTGAGGGTGAGAGAGCTGCCTGGAGTTACAGACACAGAGAGATACAACAGTAGGCAAAGAGCCCCATGGGGCTTTTTACCTCAGTGCTCTAACTCACAAAACTAAATCTAACTCACAGATTCACACAGTTTACTGTGATTTTGCCCTCATAATAAAGAAGAAGAATGTTGTTGTTAAGTGCCATAGAGTCGGTTCCGACCTATAGTCACCCTGTATAGGGTTTCCAAGGAGCAGCTGGTGAGCTTGAACCACTAATCTTGCAGTTCAAACAACTTCGCAGTCTGACGCATTAACCCACAGTGCCACACCAGGACTCCAAAGAAGAATAGCTATTCATAAAAGTCCCTAAAACACCTGTACCCAACCCACCCATGCTGCCTTTGAACTTTGGGTTGCTAAAACATAAAAACTCACCTCTGATGGATAATAATTGAGTGGCTCAAATTTAGCATCAATTTTATAAAAGGCCAGCTCCTGCTCCAGCTCATACTGTTTCTGACACGCTCGCGTTAGTTCCATGGTCTTCTGTTTGAGCTATTGGCCCAATGCAATAAAATACATAGCAACAGTAAGTTAGTGTAAAGGTGCAACAACATGGCAAGTTTCTAGGCATAATTAATAATTAGATATTTTTAAAACTCCACAGCAAACAGTACATCCAGAACATTTAAAATTCAAATTATAAATAATGAAACATAAATTGATCATTTTATAAGAGATCACATAAAAGACCTTTGAAATTTATGTTTTTCAAGTTGCTATACGAATAAAGATTTTTTAAATCATTAAGTTTGCTTTATTCAAACATGAAATTACTTTATATCAATGATTTCTAAGTAAATTGACCTTTAAAGTATCTGCTTCATGATTTCTCAATAATTAAATTTATTTAATATATTCTGTGGTTTTAAAAATTACTTCAAATTATGAGGAGAATTCGATTTTGACATTAACTACAAATGAATTATGCAGTATGAAGGAAGAAAAAATGAAACCGTTTTCATTGTTTTAAGTGTTCAGAATATTGTAGAGTTAAGGGATGTGAATAAGCGCAATCAGGTGAAAATACAAAATAAGTCTACTGTAGCTAAACTTTTTAAGTTATTTTTACAAGTTTTTAGAGCTGGGAGAATACAAGGAACCATCCAATCTAATTCTCTAAATTTATAAATAAAGAAATTGAGTCCCATATTGGTGAAGTACCTTGTCAAAAGTCACATATAAGATTAGAGATACAGGCTAACTATTTTATAAACTAACTACCTGCCTTCTGTGAGTTCATTTCAAAGGTCTACTAAGTGATTTATGCCTTTTGTGTGTGTGCACCCATGTCTGATAGTAGATACCAAAGAACATGCAGAAAAACTTCATTAATATAAAAATTAAAACTGACAAGAACAGTTGTACAAACAATGTACATTTTACAACACAGAGAAAACTAAAATCGTGCATGATTCAGCTTACAGTCACCTCTTGATTATCTGTCAAAGCAGAAATAACACCAGCCTGGATAAGAGGCAATACTGATTGTTGAGTAGTCACTGTGTGTACCACACATGGGGCTAAGCATCTTACTCGTGCTATCTCCTAAATCTTCACACCAACCCTATGAATCATAAAAACTGCACAGAGAGGTTACGTCACTTGCCCAGTCACAGAGCTCATAGTGGAAGAGGCAGTGTTCAATTCCAGGTCTCTTGATCTGAACTCCAGCACTCTTTTGTACCACCCTGCCTTCATGCCTTACTGCAGGGTATCCAGCACATTACCTACCCAGAGGGATGCTTTCACTGAGTGCTCAGGCATCTCTAAAAGCAACTCACAACCAACAGCATCCACTAATCCTGGACGTCTCTCTCCAAAGCTCACTGGCATTAAGGCCAAACAAATGGAACCACAGATAATGCAGGCAAATAATAATCAATATTCTGGGCTTTTCAAAGTACTTTTGGATCTTTTAGAGCACTAGGTTTGTTGTTGCTGCTGTTAAGTGCCGTCAAGTCGGTTCCAACTCTTAGCAACCTTGTATAGGGTTTCTGAGGAGTAACTGGTGAGCTTGAACCACTGAACCTGTGGTTTAAACAGACCTTGCAGTCCAGCACATTAATCCACAGAGCCTCATCAAGACTCTTAAAAAAAAATACGGAACACTTCATGAATTTGCATGTCATATGGTAAAAAATAAATGTCAGTTGCAGAAATGTACGACCAATATAAGGAGTCAAAAGACATGGAAAATAGGCTGGTTATAGAATTACCTTGGATAATCATGAGCTGACTGCTGTTAACATATTTATCAATCAGAAAATGATACAAATTCCTTCCCCCACATCTAAATTTACTCGCATACGCATACAATCATTAAAACCAAACCAACAAACCAAAACATACACATGAGCACATTTCCCCAGAAGGCAAGACAGTTTTAAACTAAAAAAAAAAGATAAGCAAGCATATTAATACATGTTACCATGCAAACAATGAAAATTATAGTGTACAGTTCAGCCCTGATGCAACTACCTTTAAGGAAGAATAAAGCATCAGCAGAAAAGGGCCTGCAAGAAACCACTGCTAAAAAGGAGAAAGAAGCAGATATAGACTATCACCTGGAGACCTCTAGAGAGCTATGCTGTAATCATACAAGTTGCAACATTCTATTTTACTGATCGCCTACCTTTGGAAGATCTGATTAATATGTACATTATTTACATGGACAGATTTAATCATTACTCTGAGAGTTAAAGATTATTTAATTAATTTGTTTCTAATTATTTTCACATTAATTACCATATTAATGGAGTTCTGGTGTGGCACTGTAGGATCAGCACTAGCCTGCTAACAATAAGGTTGGTGGTTCAAACCCACCAGCTGTTCCTTGAAAACCCTATAGAGGCTTTCTATGAGTCAGCACTTAGCAACATCTCATTAAATCCTGACAAGTCTGTGAGGCAGGCAGGATAGGAAAACCATCCTCATTTAAAAATGAGGAAAGTGGAAGACAGGCATTAAATCACTTCCAGAAGAACAAAGAGTAAGTTCAATTAATACTTGTTGGTGACAGTGGTTGGGGAATTACTATGGTTTAAGTGGTCACCAGAAGTTTTACTCCAATGTTACTAATTTTCTTGGTATATATAATGTGTACATACACACACACACATATTTTGCAAACTATCCGACCTAAGGAAACTGAAAAGCACTATACAACTAGAGATATCATCAGATATTCTGCATACAATAATAGAAAACATTTTTCAAAGGCAGATTCTTAAAATAACACCCAGAATTCTTTTGTAGCACAGAATAGTCCCTTGGGCTGAAAAAAACAAAACGAAACACAGAACAGCAAAAGTATATGAACTGCCTACTTAAAGAGCAAATACAAAATAGCTAACACATACATATATAATACTCGATAGAGAACTAAAGAAATTCAAAATTAAAACATTAATGAGATTCCATTTCTTCATATTCACAAGATCCAATGGGGAACTTTACTGCTGTCGAAGTGTAAAATGGTTTTAAGCTTACTGAAGCATGTATTAACACTTATCAAAGTTTTAAATACAAATTATGCAGTAATTTCACTGGTAGTGATTTATTGTAAAGGATTAGTAGCACGAATACACATATGTGGAGGCTTCAAAAAGTTAATGGAAGAATTCCACTATCTTTTATATTCCATTTTTCCATAAAATTTTTTGAAGTTTCTTTGTGCAACTCCCTTCAACCCGCATGTCTCTATACCATTATCTCTAATAGCAAAAAACTGGAGGCCATTTAAATATTCATCAGTTGGAGTAAGCTAAATAAATTATGAGGATCCATATAATGGGAACACTAATGCAGACTTTCAAAAGAGTGAAGATATATATTTATTTACATATATAATTATGCATTTTTAAACTTAATTTTTAACTTGAAGAGCTGTTCATGATATACTGTTATAAGAGAAATAAGTTGCAGACCTATACAATAAGACTCCATTTTGTTTTTAAAATCATAAACATGTTCAAGAATCTCTTTTTTTTTTTTTAACCATTGTGTTAAAAACACAGCAAATTCGTTTCCTATTCAACAATGCATACATAATGTGTCCCATGATACCGGTTGCTATCCCCACAATATTATAAGCACTCTCCCTATTTCAACCCACCCTTCCTGTTCCATCCCTTAAGTTACTAGCTCCTCCTTGTCTTCTCAGCTTTATTTTGGGGCAAATGCTGCCCATCTGGTCTCATAATGTTGACCATTCTAAGGAGCACTTTTCAAAGGTTTCTATGTCTTTAATTATATACATATATATATATATTAATTACCTGTATAAGCACAGAAAATAGGAAAGATATATATCAACACTCAAGAAACGGGGTAGGAAAACTGATAGCTTCATTTTCTACTGTATAAATTTGTGTTACTGACTTTGTTATAATAAACACATTCATTCTGCATACAAAACTATGTTTAAGTAGTGAACGATAAAAATAACATAACCACATAAAGAAGGACACAGCCTGACAGCTACAAAAGTATTTACAGGGAAAAAAAAACAGCAAAAACCATTGACAATTTACACATTTACTCATAGCACAAATATCTACAACATTTAATTGAAAAAAAAAAAAAAAAAAAGGCAACAATTAACAGTCTATAATTTTGAACTAATACAAAGTTTTAAGACATGACATTCTCTCCAGGTTTCCACTGGGTTGAAAATGGGATGACTCTCTATGCCAGAGAGTCAGATAGAAAAATTATAGTTATTTCATCTTAGTAGCAAAAGATGGTCTAAATTCCAACAATGACCTATAATTGTGGAAAGTTTATTAAACATTGGCAAGTGTCAAATAATACCATAGTAACTATGACTCTTATTTTTGTATTTTAAAAACAAATTGATGTGATGGACCTGAAGTGTTCACTATTAAAATAAAATTGTCATGCTAGTCTACAATGGTTAAATTACTCATTAATCTACTCTATTTTTATTAATGGAAAGCAACAGAAGTATATATAACATAAAACCATGAAAATTATTAGATTATTAATAGTATTAATGCATGCCTTCAGAATCCAACTGGCAAATTTGAAAACTAAAGAACCCACAAATATTCTTAGTATTTAAATAACAGAGTAGGGAAGCTGTCCTATTTTTCCATTATACTCCACCCTTGGTATAAATTACCTTTTCTCTCAGGCAAAGAAGAGCTCAAGAAGGAGGTAGTTAAGTATTGACATTTCAAGTAATAACTTCCCTTCTAGACTGCAGGCCCACACACCAAGAATGCACAGATGGGATTCTTGTTAATAAAGCAAATGATAAGGCAGAATTCTTCTTGTCAACAAGGCAAGTAACTAAGCAAGACTGATTGATAATCTTGAAAGGGAAACACAAAAGAAGATACCTCTATGTAGGATTCTATTAATTATAAGAGAAGTATGATTCTCTAAGTTATGCAAAGATTAAAATAACAAACTGCTAGGAAAGAAAGAGAGAGGGTACCAATATGTATTTTTCCTTTGGGGAAAGTTGTTGTTGATATTAAATGCCATCAAGTCAGTTCTGACTCATAGTGACTCTGTATAAGGTTTCCAAGGCGTGTCTGGTGGGTTTGTACCATCGACCTTGTGGTTAGCAGTATGATACTAATCCTACAGTGCCTAATAATTTTACAGAATCAAAATCTCAGAACTTACAATGCCTTTTAAGGTCATTTAGTCAATTTTCCTGTCTAATGATCCCAATCGTTTCCTTCAAATCTAGAGCAACTGGCTAGCCTCTGCCTTTTTCAGTGACAGGAAAAACATTCCAGAGTTAATCACACTTTACCTCCAGAGAGATATTAGAAATTTCTCCACCATTCCTAAATGAAAACTGGTTTTCCTGTGACTGCACTGACCAGGTCTTAATCCTGTCCCATGGGATTTCGGTGCCTCTTCCATGCAATAGTTCTTTGAGTATCTGAAGGCAGTTGTCACAGCTCACTGGGTCTCCTCTTCTCTAGCCTCAATACTATCTCTTCCTTTAGTCACTCCTCATATGACATGGTCTCAAGCCTTTGGGTCAAGAACTTCTTGAACATATTCTATTTTTGTTTACTTTTCTTTTTTAAACTGCTTCCCCATCACCCTAGTTAATATGTGTCCACCCTTTAGCCAGTGAGCATATTCTATTTTTTTAATATCGTTTTTTCTTGTTTTAACCATAAAGCCAAGTTACATAAAACTTAAACATCACAGATATGCATACAGGACAATTTGGAAGTGTGCTATAATTGCACTCCTTTGTCAAAAATAACTACTGTCAAGAGTCTGGTACATATTCTACCATGTTCCCCACACAAGCTTATATAGGGCCATACTCAAAGTGGGGTTTTGCAACTAGCTTTTTTCACATATCAGTATGTGTTATAACATCCTTCTATGTCATGACACACAGCTCTGCAGTATTTTATTAGCAATGAATGTACTAGTCTACCATACGGATGTCCTCTAAGTTTCCCATTTACGGATTAGTTATTTCCTTTTTTGCTAACAGAAACAGTGTTGTATATGGTGGTGGTTGTGTATGGTAGATAGGTTCTGACTCAAAGTGACCCTTTATAGGGTTTTACAGGCTGTAAATATTTCAGGAGCAGAAAGCTTCATCTTCCTACTGTGGAGCAGCTGGTAGATTTGAACTGCTGATTTTTCAGTCAGCAGAACAACTCATAACCCACTATGCTACCAGGGCTCCTTAGATCCTTGTATGTAAGTGCCATCAAGTCAATTCTGATTCATAGTAACGCTGTATAGGATTCCTGCGGAGTGGCTGGTGGATTTGAACTACCATCCATGTGTCTAAGTATCCAGTGCTTATCCTACAACACGAACCAGGATTCAATATATGTATACAGCTGAATCTCAAAGATTCCAATTCTAGTATCTGTAGAGATGGCAACAAAATGTATATATAAAAAATCACACATACACACTCATCTTCAAATATATACATACCTATATAGCTCTATACAACAAACTATGAACCACAAGGTTGGCAATTAGAGTCCACCAGCTTGAGAAAAAGATGAGGCTTTCTGCTCCCCCAAAGATTCACAGCCTCAGAAACCCTATACAGCATGACTATGAGTCGGAACCAACTCAACAGCACTTAACAATAACATTGTGCTGTCAAGTTGGTTCTGACTCATAACGACCCTGTATAGGGTTTCCAATGAGCAGCTGGTGGGTTTGAACTGTCGACCTTGTGGTTCAAAGTCTAGTGCTGATCCTACAGCGCAACACCAGGCATCCATATCCTTGTTCAAGCATATATATGTCTGAATATGAGTGTGTATGTGTGATCTTTTAAGCATTCTTGCTACTATCTCTACAGATAATTGGAATTGGAATCTCTGAGATATAGAATGTCTAAGAGTTGAATAATTTTGTCAAATTGCCATCTAAAAGTTTTTGCCGAAGTTCAGTCTCACCAGGAGTGTTGTTGCTTTAAAGAAATACAAGCATTTAGGGGTAGTCTGACCAACCTTTCGCAGTGTAGAGCTTCTTCCTTCTCCTCTGTCGGAAGCACACTTAAAAACAATGCGGCCCAAGCTAGCACACTTTTGACAGTCATAGCACACAGTAGACAATCCACAACTCATAAAGTCTTGTATCTATTCCTATTAAACCACGTCTTCCCCATCCAATAAAGAAGTTGTGTATGTATATATTTTTAGAACCACAGGCAAAGAACTCTGTATCTTAAGAAAACACAAATATGAACTTACCAGTTCGTTCTTTGTATTTAGGTCACTCTCTAGCTCCTCACAGTTTTGTTTCTGTAACATGGCCTCCTCTTTCAATGATTTGTTCAGTTGATCTTGATTTTTAATTTCCTCAAGGAACCTCGTTTGCTTACTCTTTAGCTCTTCAGTTTCCATCACAGTCTTTTCCAAGTCTCTCTCTAATCTTTCTACCTCTTCTGTCAATAAAAATTTATTTATTATTATCTTTCCTACTTAAAGTTAAAAATACTTTTCAAACAAAAGCAGAAGTCATCTGAGGATAACATAAACACAATTCTACTTTAAAAACTAGCCACTACAATTTTAGAAAAACTACTTAATCTGGATTTTGAAATTGATTTTTATAAGAAAGGTAGAAGGCATTATCATTTGGATTAATTTTTTAAAGTCAGTTTCAATTTTATTGCATTAACTTTAACGATAGACAAATTATATAGTTCAAATGTTATTAAATTGATTTCAAACATAGGTTTGTTTATCCACAGAGGATAAACACAGGATTTCAAGTCATGCATGATGCAGTCCATTGTCCATTTAAAAATATGCTTCCTTCATCCACACAAAGCATTGAAAGGCATTTTTTCTTTTATACTACATAAAGCTAGGTGCAAATGTTGATGTTAATTTATTTCATTGTCAACTTGGATGATGAATCTGGAGGCACAAAAGTTCATAGTTAAAGATGCAAACAAAAAGCTTCTTTTATTTCTCTGATAGGAAATGGAGGCCTTCATTCATGGCTCTTGATTCTTACAGCAGATCACTTCTTCTTCTTCCCTTTTCCTTTTTTACTTCCCTCTCCTTGCTGAAAACTTTGGTCACCACCACCTGTTTTTTGTGTCCTTGTTTTTAGTTTAGGTTTCATTTCCGCTGCATACAACATTACTGACTTACATCAGGGAAACTGTACAAAACAGAGGCTGCCATCTTCCTGTTTGAGCTGGACCCGGACTCTGCCTCCGTATTGAACATTACAATTCCATTCTCTAGAGTACATTTTATTTTTCTCAAGAAATGCATTAAGTCCAACTGCTAAACATACATCTTGAATCTCTGTAGCTGTAGAATTTTCAACAGCCTCATTTATGGGGATGCGCCTCCCCTCCGTGATAGTCTTTTGTTATTTAAATAAGCAGGGTAGATACAAATGAACCTGATCTGGTCGGCAGAGGATCCCAAAGCAGAGCAAGCCATTTCCACTGGGGAGCGCACGGAGCCAGCGTGGATTTGGTAAAGAGAAAACTGACCAGTGGATTAAATTTTTAAAGATAACACTCTGCTTTTACTTAATTCAATTAGAATTGATAGGATAAGGTTTTCCCAGATTCCTATAAAAACATGCAATATTTAATTTGACATTTGTAATTACACTTAAAAGGATGCTATAAACATGTTTGTAAACAGTTACCTTAAAATCCTTCAAAGGCTTCCTACTGTTCTTAGGATGAGATCCAAAACCTTAAATGAAAAGCTCACATGATCTGTTCCTAAGCTCCCTCTCTAGCTTTATCTTCAAGATATTCCACAGCAGCCGTTCTGAAAGGATCCAGTTCTTCAGTCTTCCAATTTGTGATACCTTCTCTCATCTGCACTTTTATTCATGCTGTCTATCTGAGCTCACTGAGGTAACCATATTGTACCCTGCAGGCCCCGTTTTTGTTTTTGTTTTAAATAAAAAAACACTTTGAGAAGCCTGCCTTCATCCTACACGCTCTCAAGTTGGAAACTTCTGAGTGATGCTCCCACACCACCTGTACTTATACTGTGGCCCCTGTCACTGCAGCTGTAACTGAGAGCAAATAGCTTGGCTGTCTGCTTTCCCCATTCAAGTTTCATAAATAAAATCAGAAGCTGTATCCACGTGGTTCACCAATGGATTCCAAGAGCACAGCACCTGAATTTGCTATCATAAACACATAGTAATTATGCATATAAAATTGATATGTAAAATAATAAATGATCCATAAGCAGTTTAAATTTTTCTCCTATAGTATATTTATACCAGGACTTTCCTTTGCATTATTTATAGTTAAATGATGCCAAAACATAAACTTTAGGGTAATGAATGTTGGATTGTTATTGTTGTTGTTAAGTGCTGTTCAGTCGATTCCTACCCATAGCGACCCTATATAGGGTCTCTGAGGAGCAACTGGTGAGCTTGAACTGCTGACCTTGCAGTTCAAACGGCTTTGAAGTCTGGCACATTAACCCACAGCACCACACAAGGACTTCTACTAATGTTGGGTTGTTGTTGTTGTTATGTGCCATGGAATCGGTTCCGACTCATAGCGACCCTGTACAGGGTTTCCAAGGGTGTAAATCTTTACGGGAGCAGAAAGCCTCATCTTTCTCCCGCGGAACAGCTGGTAGTTTCAAACTGCTAACCCTGAGATTAGCAGCCCAATTTGTAACCACTACGCTACCAGAGCTCCTTAGTGGGGTCTAAATTTAACTTTACCATATTTCTCAATTATTGGATCAAACCATATGAGATTGATGTTTCTGGTACTCAACAACAGGCTAATATCAATTTCATATAGTTGAACATATGGCCTTATTTCCTAACAATCTAAAATGGCTACTTCATATCTTCCTGCTACTGCTGAAACTTACCATACTCCATGCTCCTTTCTTCTATTCACTTTCTCAGCTGATAACCTCATTAAGAAAAACAAAAAACCCACTGCCATCAAGTCAATAGGGTTTCCGAGATTATAAATCCTCCAAGGGAGCGGAGCAGGCAGCCTCATCTTTCTCCCATGGCATGGCTAGTGAGTTTGAGCCGCCGATCTTACAGTTAGCAGCCCAATGCCAAGCCCACATTGCCATCAGGGCTCCTAAAAGACCTCACTGAAAAACCATCAGTGGGAACCCTCTCATTTTCCTACTACTTTCCACTACTAAATCAATGAAGCCACCTACATCTTCATGCATCTTCTTTCTGATGGAAAACATGTCCTTCCTATTAATAGACAATGAGAAGACACTTACTCCTCTTTTTCTCTGCATCAGATCATCTAACCTTTTCAAGGACCATAGGAATTGAGCCAGAATTTGTGTCTCCACTATATTCTCAAATATTCTATTATTTTGATTGCTATCTTTAACGTTTACTCTATTTGTTTCTGCCCATTTCCTGGTCTAGAAGCTACTGACTTTTCCTTTTTTCTTTTTAAACTTTGGACTCATTTTGTTAGATCTTCTTGTTGTTAGGTGCCATCAAGTCGGCACCAACTCATAGCGACCTTATGTACAGCAGAACGAAACACTGCCCAATCCTGAGCCAACCTCACTACTGTTGCCACACTTGAGTCCATCGGTGCGGCCACCTGGCCAATCCATCTCGTTGAGGTTCTTCCTCTTTTTCTCTGACCCTCCATCTTACCAAACATGATATCCTTCTCCAGCGACTGTTCCCTCCCGACAATATGTCCAAAGTATGAGAGACGAAGTTTGGTCATCTTGGCCTCTAAGGAGCACTCTGGCTGCACTTCTTCCAAAACAGACTACTGGTTCTTTTGGCAGCCCGTGGCACTTTTAGTATTCTCCTCCAACACCATAATTAAGAGGCATCAATTCTTCTACGGTCTTCCTTATTCACTGTTCAGCTTTCACATGCATATGAGGTTACTGAAAATACCATGGCTTGGGTCAGGCGCACCTTAGTCCTCAAGCTGACATCTTTGCTGTTCAACACTTTAAAAAGTTCCTGTGCAGCACATTTGCCTAATGTAATACATCATTTGATTTCTTGACTGCTGCTTCCGTGAGTGTTGATAGTTGATCCAAGAAGAATGAAGTCCTTGACAACTTCAATCTTTTCTCTGTTGATAAGAATGTTATTTATTGGTCCAGTGGTGAGGATTTTTGTCTTCTTGACATTGAGATAGAATCCATACTGAAGCTCTTTGATCTTCATCAGTAAATGTTTCAAGTCTTCTTCACTTTCAGCAAGTAAGGTTGTATCATCTGCATATCGCAGGTTGTTAATGAGTCTTCCTCCAATCCTGATACCATGTTTTTCTTCATAGAACCCAGCTTCTCGTATTATTTATTCAGCATACAGGTTGAATAAGTACGGTAAAAGAATACAACTTTGTCGCACACCTTTCTTAATGTTAAAGCATTCAGGGTTCCCATGTTCTGTTTGAAAAACTGCTTCTTGGTCCAGGTACAGATTCCTCATGAGTACAATTAAGTGTTCTGGAATACTCATACTTCACAATGTTGTCCATAGCTTGTCATGATTCACACAATCAAAGCCTTTGCATAGTCAATAAAGCACAGGTAAACAAACATCTTTCTGATATTCTCTGCTTTCAGCCAAGATCTATCAGACATCAGCAATGATATCTCTCATTCCACAGTCTCTTCTGAATCCAGCTTGAACCTCTGGAAGTTCTCTGTCAATGTATGATTGTAGCCGTTTCTGTATTACCTTTAGAAAAACTTTACTCACATGACATATCAAAGAGATTGTCCGACAATTTCCGCATTCTGTTGGGTCACCTCTCTTTGGAATGGGCACAAATATGGATCTCTTCCAATCGGTCGGCCAGATAGTTGTCTTCCAAATTTCTTGGCAGAGATGAGTGAGTGCCTCCTGTGCCACCTCACTTTCATCAATTCCCGGTTCCTTGCTCTTTGCCAATTCCTTCAATGCGCCTTGTACTTCCTCCCTGAGTGTCATTGGCTCTTGATTATATGCTACCTCTTGAAACTGCTGAACATTAACCATTTCCTTTTGGTACAGTGACTGTTTATTCCTTCCATCTTTGCTTGATGCTTTCAGCATCATTCAATAATTTATTTGCCCAGAGAATCTTTCAATAATAAAAATCGAGGCTTGAATTTTTTCTTCAGTTCCACCAGCTTGAGAAATGCTGAGCATGTTTTTCCTTTTTGGTTTTCTGATTCCAAATCTTTGCACATTTTATTATAATATTTGGCTTTATCTTCTTGAGCTGATCTTTGAAATTTTCTGTTCAGCACTTGGACCTCCTAATTTCTTCCATTTGCTTTAGCATCTCTATGCTGGAGAGCAAGTTTCAGAGTCTCTTTTGACATCCATTTTGACCTTTTCCTTCTTTCTTGTCTTCTTAATGACTTTTTGCTTTCTTCACGTATGGTGTTCTTGATGTCATCACACAACTCTTCTGGTCTTCGGTCTTTAGCGTTTAATGTATCAAATCTGTTCTTCAGATTATCTGTAAATTCAGGTGGGATATATTCAAGGTCATATTTTGGCTCTGATGGACTTGTTTTCATTTTCTTCAGCTTCAGTTTGAATTTGCATATGAGTAATTAGATTTTAGGAGAGTGAAATTCTGGGAGGAAATTCTAAAGTTTCACCCAACATCTCCCTCCCAATCATTCTTAATCCACTGTAAACTGACAATTGTTCCCACCATACCTTCAACTGTTACTACCAAGATCACCATTATATTTGGCCAATCTAAAGCACACTTCTCTGTTTATCTTACTTCATGTCTCTGCAACACTGAACACAGTTGACTACTTCCTCTGTAGAAACCTTTTCTTCTCTGGGCTTTTGCAGCTCACTCTTTTCTGGTTTTCTTGTACCTACTTGTTGGGAACAGCTGAGCTGAAGGTCCCTGACTTGGGGGTAGTTTGACCAAAGGATTGCAACTGAACAGTTGTGGTCCAGAAACTTGGGCTGCTTCCAAGTCAAGTCCTGCCCTTTAGGAACTTGCAGGGCTGCCTCAGGGGACAGGTAACTTTCAAGGTCTTTCCTCGTATTTAGCTATGTCCTTCGGCTCAGCCTGCGCCACATTCTAGCCGCCCTAATCAGTGTTCCAGCTAGCTACCACAAGTTACAGTTTTTCTGATAAAGTTCCACTTACTGCTGGCTCCTTCAGTGCAAGATGTTCTTGTACTCCTTACCCTGCCTCAAGCACCTCCCCCTTCAGTGCTGTATATAATAAACTCACTGCTTTGGTCTTTGCCGAAGTCTGTGTCCCACCTGGTCCCAACTTTTCTGATTTCACTTGTGCCTTCAATTTATTTCTCATCTCCTGTAGGCCCTACTCGGGTTTAATATCTCCGCGCGGGTTGCAGAGAAAAGCCAATTGTCAGACGCGGCAGCTGGCCCCAACACCTACTGGTCTCTCCTCAATTTCCTTACCTAGTTTTTCCTCTCCTACTTCCCAACTCCTGTCTGGCTAAGTTAGTCAATTCCAGTGAATTAAATATCATGTGTATGATATCTACATCTCCATGTCAGATCTCATCTGGACTTCTTCAGCAGTGGTGGTTCACTGGGTAAGAATTCTCACCTGACCCAAACCATGGTATTTTCAATTGCCTGAAAAGTATGTGAAAGTTGGACAATGAATAAGAAAGACCATGGAAGAATTGATGTATTTGAATTATGGTGTTGGAGAAGAATATTGAAAGTACAATGGACTGCCAGAAGAAGCAACAAATCTGTCATGGGAGCTGTCATGGGAGCAGTACAGCCAGAATGCTTATTAGAAGTCAGGATGGAGAGACTTTATCTCTCATACTTCAGACATGTTATTAGGAGGGACCAGTCCCTGGAGAAGGACACCATGCTTGGTAAAGTGGAGAGTCATCGAAAAAGAGGAAGACTCCCAACAAGATGGATTGGCACAGTGGCAGCAGCAATGGACTCAAACACAGGCAGTGTTTCATTCTGTTGTGCATAGGGCCACTATGAGTCAGAACCAACTCAACGGCACCTAACAGCAGCATCAACATACAAGAGAATGAATGTGATTCCTGGCCAATGTACCTCACGTGCAGCCACCACCTGAATATAGGAGAAGTCTGCATGTTGCTATAATGCTGAGCTTAGCAGAGCTTCCAGACGATGACAGATTAGACAAGAAGGCCTGGCAATCTACTTCTAAAAATCAATCAGCAAATCTTAACACAAGAGTTTAGTCTACAACCGATCAGGAGATGGTGCAGGGCTGGGAAGTCCCATTGTGTATGGGTTCACCATGAGTATTTAGTTGTCTTACAGACATTTCAAATTCAGTATGTCCAAAACAAAAATCTGAATTCTCCTACTTCTGTATGTAGTACAATGAATTTCTTAATATGGCTATTTTAGCCATGTATCATCATTTTATAGCACCTTCCAAATGATTGGGGGTGTGGGCATCCAATAGTCTGCTAATTCAAATAAGGTACATGAAAGCCTTGTAGGGGATTGGTTAGTTTGTGGTATTACCAGCTTCCCTGGCAGAGGCTTTAGAGGGAGCTATGTAACACCAGACACAGCAAGAAATGGTGGCAAGAGCAATAACAGCACTAGATAACAAGACACAGGATGCCTGTTCAAGATGGGTGTGGCTTGCTGATCCACAGAGCTGAGAGCTGTAACACATGCTTGAGTAGGTCCCAAAAAGGCTTAGCAGCAGAGGGCAAGAAGGAGCTGTCCTGATCAAAGAACTGTATCCTGAGTTGTTCTTAATCCTTACAGTTGATCCTGATTCCATGTTATGACCTGTTACTTCCCTAAAAAAGCACTTAATTATTAAGTATAGTTTGTGAGTGGTGTAAGCTGCAGCAGCAAACTACCAAACCCAAAGACATGAGGAGGAATCGCTGATGTTAGAGATGATGGAGTAGCACAGCAATTTGGCAAAGTTGGACAATTGGGACATCTTTAACCTCTGCTTCACAAGAACATGTTCTGTGTTGATTCTTATAAAAGAAATTAATCATTTACCATAAATGATATTACTATCCAAACACATACTCCCTGAAGCTTGGGAATGATGCAATCCATTAGTAAGTGCTGATTATTTTACCTCTAAAACTGATCTAAAATATGCCATCTTTCCATTTCTAAATCTAACACCTAAGTACAGGCCATCAAGAATTCCAGCTAGACTGTTGTCATAGCCTCCTAACAGGTCCTTTCATCTCCATTTTGCCTTGCTCCAAATCAATCTCCACTCTGCATCAAAAATGAACTTCTCAATATATAAACTGAACTATGTCCCATCCCATTTAGAAATGACCAATGGCTTCCTCCTACACTTGAAATAAAATTCAAACTTCAAGGCCTGTATCATCGTGCCCCTCCCTATCTCTCCACATTTTGTCTTGAGCCACCACCCAGTCATAGTGGTCTTCTTTCAGGTCCCAGAATTTATCAGGGTCTTCCCAACCTCGAAGTACAAGTTATTGCCTCTCATTAAATGCCATTTTTCACATGGCTAACTCTCCTTTCCCTTTGCCTTCAGTTTAAATAGCAAGTCCTCAGAAAGGCATTCCTTTACCATTTCCCTAAAAAGAGATTCCCTTCTGTCACTTTGTGCTTCATTGCTTTCTGTCTTCTCTACCTATATGATTATAAGCTGCATGAAAATTAGCATGATACATCTTGTTCATTATTATACTCCTAGTGCCAAGTACAACGTATGCCTCACAGTACATGTTCAATAAATAATTGCTGTATGTATTAACTTATGGTATCATTTTAATGCAAATTTTAATAGTACTGCAAAGTTCCTAACACAATGTATTTTTTCTGGATAGCTTCTGAAAAAAAAAAAAAGTACCCCCAAATTCATATCAAAACTTGATTTTTGCGAAGTGTCACCTTACCTAAGCTGAATCTTTCAAAAGCCTCCTGTCTGTCCTGAGTGGTTACTGCGTGACCTTCCAAACTCTCCAGTGAACGGAGGTGGAAAATGGTAAACTGCTGGTAATGAGGAAGAGCCACAATTGGATTTTCTAGTAGGATCAGGGAAGTCAAATCTTGAAGTGGTTTCAACTTGCTTACATTCTGGAGCTGAAGAGACGTAAAGGATTCATATTATCATAATTTAGAAACAATAAACATACCTAAAGGAAGTAACAAATCAAAGGAAACTACTCTTAACAAGGCAAGAAATCTACTCATGAGAGCCATTTTCTACACATAGTGGTGGCAGGGAAGCGGTGGAAAGGAGGACAGAGTTTTTGAGTAGTAGAGTATGTCTGTGCAATCTTCATACACCATTTCATTTGTACTTCCTCACAACAGCTTATGATTTAAGTATTATATTGATTTTACAGATGAAGAAACTGAGGCTCAAAGAAGTTAGGTAACTTGCAAAGACCCAGATCTTGGAAATGAATTAATTAAGATTTGAATTCAGTTCTGTGTCATTCTAAACTAGGGTCTTTTCATTATAAAGATGGAACAAGTGTAAAATGTGTTGTTATTGTTAAGGGTTGTCAAGTTGGTTTCAACTCAAAGTGACCCTGTACAGGGTTTCCGAGGAGCGGCTGGTGGGTTTAAACCACTGACTTTGTGGTTAGCAGTTCAGTGCTGATCCTACAGCACCATACCAGGACCCCAATGACTACAAAAAGGATTTTGGTAACTGTTCAGATAACAGTTACAAATGATCATTTAAAAAATCCGGGTATGTAGAGACGTCCATTTTTGAAGCTGATATTAAGGAACATAACAGGCTCTCTCACACCGTGGCCCAAGTCAATAAGGCTAAACAGAACCGGGATCTGACCCCAAACAGAAGACAGCAAGTTCTTAAATTCTAACATTCTTAAGAATGCTTTAAAGCAGTGACTCTTAATGAGAGATGGCAGGAAATGTATTCTGAAAAAAGCATACTCAGTAAAGCAGTCTAATTTTACATTTAGAAAAGCAAGGGGGTCAAAAACTAGAGAGAGGGAAGCAAAACAAAATCTCAAATTGGAGGTGGTGCAGGAGAGGGAGCACCCAGCTTCCCTAGGTGGGTCTGTCCAAATCTCTGGAGGAAAGTGCGATTTTTATGTTTATTGAAAGGGGCGGTAAAAAGGCTGAGAACTACTGCTCTAAATAATGAGTAAAATAAATCTTCCCAAGTGAATGTGCATCCCTTGTCCTGATGCCAACATCAGATATAAACTGGGATAAGAAATTACGTACAGAAACTCTCCTGGGTGACTTCCCTAACAGCAGCTCTCTCAGGGTCATCTACTGTATTCTTTGTGGCAAAATTGAGACTTGCTTTTCCCATCCCCCCACAAGCTTCAGGAGCCCTGAGCTGAGGAGCTGACACTTTACACACACAGTGTGGGGCTGTCACTGCTCAGACATTGTCAACTGCACAGCATGACACAAATGGCCTCCACTGGTGAAAGTCTGATTTCAGGTTTTAAAGCATTTTCATAGTCCTCATTCCATCCAAGCCCCATACCCACCCTATAAAGTAGTAAAGGTTTTATTTTTGCCAAATTTACACAGGTTAAAGAATCCTCAAACTCACAGAAAGCCAAGTCTAGATGGCTCTCATTTCCTACTCTATGATCTTTCATTTCTTACGTCTACTTTCAATTTTTACTTCTTGGTCAAAGATTAAGATCTTTTAAGAAAGAAGAAATCCCATTAAAAAAAAACAATAAAAACAAAAACCAACAACTCAGATTTGAATCTTTTTCTACAAGTCCCAAAATTTGAAAAGTAATTCTTCTGACTTTAAATAACTTACCGATGATATCTTGTTGCCTTTCAGATTGAGGACCCGCAAAGATTTTAACTTCTTCCCTAACCATACTGGGATATGTTCAATTTCATTTCCTGCAAGATTTAGCTTTTGCAGATTACACATATTTTCTATGCCTTCAATTTTGCTATAAAGGAAAGTATAAAATTAAATTTAATGAGAACAGTGACATTTGTCTTCCACTGTATTTTAAGAATAAGTAACTTTGGTCTCATTTGGGGTTACTTTTCATAATTTTATCAATTCTTTTCCTAAATGAGAACCAGGAAATGGGGCTAAGAGCCAATATACTAGAAGCACTAAACTGCTAACCATTACTGTGCCCAGCAGCCCTACCTGTCTTATAGTCCACCATTAGGGCCCCACTGAGAAGCATTCTAAGTCTTAAAATAAGTGACATTAGTATATATAACCACAAAACTTGCCCTAAATCCAAGCCCTGGACTATTCAGCATAAAGTGTGAATAAAGATTACAGATTGGAAGCACACTGGAAAAGAAGAGTCTGTGAGTGACAATGTCACTGCCCACTATGAAACGTAATAACTGCCCACTAGAGAAGACTGGAATTCTCAGAAGCACACACTTGGCTATGTGTTAGTCTTATGAAGAGAAAATGCTCTCAGTTATTAGCTCAACTCACCCCAAAATGATTATGGAGGCCATCAGTACATGGCTACCATTCTGAGTTAGTGGTCTCGATGATGGTTTATCAATACCAATATTTTAATCACAGTATTCCAGTTAATAATTTTTTTGTTATCCATATTGATCAATTTTTATTAGTGATGTATTCTTCCAAGTGAATTCTAACTGAATGCTTGGAACATTTTCTACCAAGTAAATATTTCAAAGCTTTTCCATTTCTATTTTGCTGAAATTATTTTCATTAGGATCAATTATTTTCAATGTAAACGTTATAAGGATTTGATTCATTAATCTTTCTTTTTCTCATTTCAATTTTGTCTTATTATAGCTTCTGTCACTACTAGCTTTTTGTGGTTTATTGGCTTTGTTGGCCATTATTTCTGAGAAGATTTTAAAGCCTCAGAAACCCTATACAAGGTTGCTATGAGTCAGAATCGACTCAACAGCATTTAACAATAAGAACATTTATAGCAATACTACTTTGGGGGGGGGGCGGGGGAGGGGGAAGTCCCGGTGTGGCACTGTGGGTTAACGTGCCAGACTACAAAGCCGTTTGAACTGCAAGGCTGGCAGTTCAAACTCACCAGCTGCTCCTAGGAAACCCTATACAGGGTCGCTATGGGTTGGAATCGACTCGACGGTACTCAACAAATACAGATTACAAAAATTTTTCAAGATTTAATTCTTCCATCAGTTTTTGTCTATAGTAAGTTTTCTATGTGCAGTTTTAACCATTGTCAGTTTTATTTCTAACAGTTGTTATTTATTATGAACTGGAAATAAGACTGAGGGCATTTCTTATAACAATGAGCAAAGAATATTAAGATAAATCCATAAAATCAAAATGAGACCGAGATATCTTTCTGCCCAAAATGGCAGGATTAAAACATTGTTTCATGCCAACCTCCTTAATTTAAGAAGGCAGTGAGCAAAACACAGACTACCGCTAGGAAAAATTCCTGTCAAAATGGAATTAAGAAAATAAAATTTGGTAATCAAAAATCTATCTCCTACACTTGTCTGGGGATATTCATTAACTACATGCTCAAATTTATGATATAAGTAATTCTCAAAGTGAACACTGAGTGGCTACTCATTTGCTACCCCTGCTAGAGAGTAAGATCCCCTAAGAACTTGACTGAACCTCAGCATAGTGATCCTGCTTGGAGCAGGTGGTGGGCCGGCAACGTCTGGCGCATGGGGTCCCCAGCTGATCTCCTCCCTCCCTGCCTTCCTCGGATGGCGGCTGTTTATGCTGGACGTGTGGCCAGAGACGGGTAAGGATCACGTGGAACCTCGGCTACTTAAGACAGAGCCATTGCCATGCTGCAATGAGTCTCAATGACTGGTAAGACTGAGGAATTCGAATTCGCACTGACCACCTAAGACAGGCAGCGTCCCTTAAACAATCAATAAATAAGGAGGATTCGGATGCAGACCGTGCAGACCCGGTCAGGAGGCCAAGCCCCTGTGGGCCCAAGCGTTGCTGACCGTCCAAACCATAGGATCTGAGGATCAGACTTTAGCTACCTAGTAGACATAGCAAACTGTCCCTCATCTGATTATTCAGTAATGCTTGTTAGTAATCTCATACATGAGCCCTGCATATCCACAGACAAATGTAAAAACCTTCCCTAAAAGCCAAGACTGTAAATTCCAAAAAGGCAAGTCCCCCAACATCCAAAAAAAAAAGCTAAATAGGATAGAGAGAAACACTGTAAACTGATGATATATGGAGGGGATAATAATCAATGTAATGAAACAAGCTATATGAATGGTTGAATGTGAAGCTGATGATGTGCCCTGTAAACTTTCACTCAATGCAAAATAAAAACATTTAATTAAAAAAAAAATCTATCTCCTTCTTTGATAACACTCGATATTATTCTATACTTGTTGTTGAATGCTGTCGAGTTGCTTCTGACTCATGGAGACCCTGTAAAGGATTTCAAAGGAGCAGCTGATGAGTTTGAACCATAGACCTTGCAGTTCAAACTGATTTTGTGGTCCAGGGCTTTAAACCACACACTTATTCCAAAACAAAAAGGCAACTATCATATGTGGAAATCTAGACTATCATTGAATAAGGATCAAAGTTCCTACCCTTTCAAAGGATTCTTTCAGTAACATATCTTATCTCTCTAAAACAAAGATCATGCAATGCTATCTACAGTATTTACTTACCTGATTTTGTTATATGATAAATTGAGTTCACGTAATTTTAATAGTTTATCCATCTTCTCAATCTTCCCTATGACATTATAGCTGAGATTCAGTACTTCAAGTCGAACACATTTTTCCAAATTTTCGATATACTGATTGGAAACAAATGAATAAATACTTGACTTAACAGATGACTTGACATAAAAGCATTTAAGTCTGTGCATCAGGGATGAGCAGTCATAAAGGAACACTGAACCCTTATTGCCCCTTGACAGTCCCTTGGTGCAGGTCTCCTTGACCAGGAGTAGCAATTCTTTTCACACGGCCAAGCTCTCTTTGCCCCTCAGCAGACAGCACTTCCTGAGTGAATACTAAGAAGCTCAAGAAGAACAACACCCCGCTATCTTTCCCTCCATCTCACCGTTTTGATGCCTCTCTTCCCCTCCCTCCATCCTTGACTCCAAGATCGCTTCCATCCTTGTAAAGTTCACCCAGGCACTCATGCTCTTATAAAACCTTACCCACCTCCTGCCTCCATTCCCCTGAAACATCAACTTTTTACTGTCTCCTGGATCTTCCCCCTCAAGTTCAAAAACATGCATTATTCAGCAAATATTCACTATTCTCTTAGTACACACCAAAAGTTGTTGTTAAGGGCTGTCGAATCGGTTCCAACTCATAGTGACCCTGTAGAGAGTTTCTGAGGAGCAGCTGGTGAGTTTAAACCACCAACCCTGTGATTCAAACTGACCTTACAGTCCAGAATTTACCCTATAGCACCACACCAGGACTCCATACCAGAAATGGCACCAAATAATAGGGATATAGCAGTGAACTTGACAATTTTTTGCCACATCAAACCTAGGTCCAACATACACAAGCCTCTTCTTTATAACAAATCTCCTTGCACTGAACTTGTTTTTCTATCAAGTCATCATCATCCTATTTCTGGTATCTGCCACCAATATTCTCAAAAGACCTTTGCTTGTTTTACCTTCTTCTACATATTCCTATTCTATTGGGAAGGCAATACACCTTATGTCCCCATTAGTTTATTCAAATAGTTCTCTGCTTGGTCACCAATCACTCATCTTTTCCACAAATACTTATCAAACACGGACCATGCATGTTCTAGGTATTGCAAATAGTGTTGAATAAGGGAGCATAGCTCTTGTTTTCATTCACAGGAGACAGGCAATATACAAGCAAGCAAAGTTTCAGATACTGATGAGTACTAAAAAGAAACCAAAGACAGCATGATGTGACAGAAAACAAGCACAAGGGCAGATTTTGTCTGTTGTGGTCACAGCTATAGATAGCACTACTGCCTAGAAAACAGTAGGTGCTAAAAAGAATCTGTTGACTGAAAGAATGAGGAGAGAGCAGGGGGAGAGGGTGCCTATTGGGAGTTGCTGATGAATAGCCAAATCCAAATGACTTCACTCTATCTGACTATTCTATGACGTTTTATATCCGTCCTCTCTTGCTTAAAGTTCCTCTTCCTTTAGCCTCCAATGATCATATGCTTAGAGCTTCTCCGTTTCCAACAGCTCTTTCACGCTTCTTCACTGGTTCTACCTCTCCCATCTACTCTCTCACTCACTCTTTGATTCTCCTCACTATTCCTCCTCTTAATCCAAGGAATTCTTCACACTAAGCTTTATGTTCTCAGAGATCAGAAACTAAGTTTATTAACCTTGATATCTATCACTACACATTAACATAATGCCTGGCATATAATAAACAGACAACATTTATTAATTTGTTATTTCATTTCCCACCACTTGTCTGTCAGTTTTTCATATGGTGGTAGCTTTGTGTTGCTGGGATGCTGGAAGCTATTTTAAATACCAGCAGGGTCACCCTCGGTGGATAGTTTTCAGTGGAGTTTCTAAACTATGACAGACTAGAAAAATGAAAAGGCAGATCACTTCTGAATGGTTAGTCACTGAAAACCTTATGAATAGCAGTGGAACATGTTCTGATATAGTGCCTAAAGATGAGACCCTCAGGATGAAAGGCATTCAAAATATGACTAGGGATGACTGCCTCCTCAAAGCAGAATTGACCTTCATGACTAGAATGAAGCAAAGCTTTGTGACCTTTATTTGCTGATGTGGCACAACTCAAAATGGGAAGAAACAGCTATCCATTACTAATAAAAAATGGAATATAAAGAGTATAAATCTAGGAAAATTGGCCATTGTCAAAAATGAAATGGAGCAAATAAAGATAGATATTCTAGGCATTAGTGAGCTGAAATGGACTGACATTGGCCATTTGGAATCAGATAATCATATGGTTTACTATGCTAGTAAGGACAAATTCAATAGGAATTGTGTCGCATTCACTGTCAAAAAGAACATTTAAAGATCTTTCTTGAAGTACAATGCTGTCTATGATAGGACAATATCAATAAGTCTATAAGGAAGCCCAGTTAATACCACTATTATTCAAACTGATACACCAACCACTAAAGCCCGTGATGATGAAATTGAAGAATTCTATCAACTGCTTCAGCCTGAAAGCAATAAAATATGCAATCAAGATGTATTAATAATTACTGGTAACTGAGATGCAAAATTTGGAAACAAAGAGGAAGAATCGATAGTTGGGAAATATGGCCTTGGTTATAGAAATGATGCTGATGATCATGATAGAATTTTTGTAAAACCAATGACTTACTCATTGCAAATACATTTTTTTTAGCAACTATACACCTGCACCTCACCAAAAGGAATACACAGGAATAAAACTGACTACATCTGTGGGAAGACACCATGGAGAAGTTCAATATCATCAGTCAAAACAAGGCAAGGGGCCAACTGCAGAACAGACCATCAATTGCTCAGATGCAAGTTCAGGCTGAAGATGAAGAAAATTAAAACAACTCCCTAAGAAACAAAATATCACTCTGAGTACATCCCACCTGAATTTAGAAAGCATCTCACAAACAGATTTGATGCATTGGACACTAATAACTAAAGACCAGAGGAATTGCAGAATGGCATCAAGAACATCATACATGAAGAAAGCCAAAGGTTATTTACAGACAGGAAAGATAAGATGAAGGTGAATATAAGAATAGATTCCAAAAGTTGCTCTTTAACATACAGAAGCTAAAGTGACTGAAAAAAAAAAAAATGAAGTAAAAGAGCTGAAGAGAAAGTTTCAAAGAACAATTCGATAGGACAAAGTCGAGTATTACAATGCAATGTGCAAAGATCTGGAGTTAGAAAACCAAAAGGGAAGAAGATGCTCAGTAGTTTTGGAGCTGAAAGAACTGAAGAAAATATTCAAGACTTGGGTTGCAATACTGAAGTATTCTACAGGCAAAATACTTAATGATGCAGAAAGCATCAAAAGAAAATGAAAGGAGTGCATAGTCACTGTACCAAAAACAACTGGTTGAAGCTCAAACATTTCAAGGTGTCATATGTTCAAGTACAGTCCAAGTGGCACAGAGGCACTGGCGAAAAACAAGACTACAGAAATTGATGGACTACAAAATGAATGTTTCAACAAACCAATGAGTGATGGAGGCACTTACTCATCTATGGCAAGAAAATTGAAAGACAGTTCCAGGGCTGACTGAAAGAGATTCATATTTGTGCTCATTCCAAAGAAAGGTGACCCAATAGAATGTGAAAATCATAGAAAAGTATCATCACATGCAAGTAACATTTTTCTGAACATAATTTTAAAAAAAACCACAGTTGCAGTTGGACATAGACAGGGAGGTGCCAGAAATTCAAACCAGATTCAGAAGAGGATATGGAACCAAGGACATCACTACTTATGTCAGATGGATTTTGGCTGAAAGCAGAGAATACCAGAAAGATGTTTACTTGTGGTTTATTGACTATATAAAGGCTTTTGACTGTGTTGATCATGACAAGTTAAGGACAACACAGTGAAGAATGGGTTTTCCAGAACACTTGATTGCACTCATGAGGAACTTGCACATACACCAGCAGGCAGTTGTTAGAACAGAACAAGAGGATACCGAATAGTTTAAAATCAGGAAAGGGCTGTACTCTTTCACCACATTTACTCAATCTGTATGCTGAGAAACTAATTTGAGAAGTTGGATTATATGAAGAAGAACGTATCATCAGGATTGGAGGAAGACTCAATTAACAACCTGCAATATTCAGATGCTACAACCTTGCTTGCTGAAAGCAAAGAGGACTTAAAATATTAATGAAAATCAAAGGTCACAGCCTTCAGTATGGATTGTGCCTCAATGTGTTCCTTTACATTCTCACAGCTGGACCAATAAATTACGTGATGATAAATGGGGGAAAGACTGAAGTTGTTAAAGACTTCATTTTGCTTGGATCTCAATCAACACTCATGGAAACAGCAGTCAAGAAATCAAATGATGCATTAGGTCAGATAAATCTGCTTCTCAAGTCCTCCTTAAAGTGTACAAGAGCAAAGATAACAGTTGGAAGACTAAGGTGAGCCTGACCCAAGGCAAGGTATTTTCAATTGCCTAACTTGCATGTGAAAGCTGGACAACAAATAAGGAAAACCGTAAAAGAATTGATGCATTTGAGTTACGGTATTAGAGAAGAACATTTTTAAGTACCATGGATTGTTAGATGAACCAAAAAATCTGTGTTGGAAGAAGTATAGTCAGAATACACACTTTTCTACATTAATGCACAGAGTTCTAATTTATTTTTCAAGAGACCTTATGGTATTTCCCCACATATTGTACTATAATTTAGTCAATTCCCTATTGATAACAGACATTTAGTTATCTCCTTTTTAAATTTTTAAATAAAATATAATAATTTTAGTAATAAGCAACCTGTATATAATAAATATAACAAACAACCCTGGAGTCCTGGTGTGGTGCTATAGGATAAGTACTGGACTGCAAACAACAAGGTCAGCAGTTCAAACCCACTAACTACTCCTCGGGGTCATTAGGAGTCGGAGACGACTCGATGGCACAACAACAAACAACACACATTTTTGTATATTGTTGTTGTTAAGTGCCGTTGAGTCGGTTCTGACCCATAGCAACCCTGTATAGGGTTTCTGAGGAGCAGCTGGTGAGTTTGAACTGCCGGCCTTGCAGCTCAAACGACTTTGCAGTCTCACGCATTAACTCACAGCACCACACCATGACTCCCATTTTTGTACATATGTGCAAATAATATCAGTATAATAAGAACTGCTATGTCCGTGGGTATGAACTCAACTGCTAGATCAAAAATAAGAAAACTCTGATAAATAACACTATACTGTTTTCCTAAATGTAATACCAATCTATACTTCTAGTAAGAACATATGAAAATACTCATTTTCAACATCCCTCTGAACACTGACATTATCTTCTAAAATTCTTGTCCATTAGGTGTAGAGAGTTCTTGGGTGGCACAAAAAGACTAGCATATGCAGCTGCTAACCCAAAAGTTGGAGGCTCAAGTCCACCTGAGGTGCGCTGGGATAAAGACCTGGCTATCTACTTGCCAAAAGGCAATCCCCAATCCCCTAAGTAGCACACATGGAGTTGTCAGGAGTTGGAATTAATGTGATGGTAACTGGTACTAGAAGTAGATATACAAGATAAAAAATGGTATCAAGCTCCTATATTGTTCCCTATATATTTTTTAATATGAGAAAGCATCAAAAAGTTCATGATAAAATTTCATTATCTTTTAATTCCATTTTCCACAAAATTTTTGAAGTTTCTTTGTATTTTTGTTGATTTTTTTGTTTCATTTTCCATGAGCTCTTCAAAATTCTACAATTGTTTTGAATAACATGGGATAGGAATCTAAACTTGTATTTTTCTAATTAGAAAAACTAAATTTCCCATTGCAATATGTTCATTTTGTATAGTTTATGGATAAGTAGTCAACACTCTAGACTGGAAAATAGATCCTTGATGATAGAAAAAATCAGCAAACTTTTTCTGTAGAAGGCTAGGTAGTAATTATTTTTGGTTTTACAGACCATAAAGTCTCTGTGTTATTCAACCTTTCACTGTACTGTAAAAACAGCCATAAACATTAAGCAAATAAATGGGTGGTATGGTTGTGTTTCAATATTAACTTTTACTTGTAAAAATATGAAGCAGGCCCAATATGACCCATAGGCTCTTCTCTACCAAAGGAACCGTGGTGACACAGTGATTAAGAGCTTGGCTCTTAACTGAAAGGTCAGTGGTTCAAATCCAAGAGCTAGTCTGCAGAAGTAAGATGTGGCAGTTTGCTTATATATGATTTGTTGTCGTTAAGTGCCTTCGAGTCGGTTCTGACCCATAGTGACCCTGTACAGGGTTTCTGAGGCTGTAACTCTTTATGGGAGCAGAATGCCTCATCTTTCTCCCATGGAGCGGCTGGTAGTTTCAAACTGCTGGCCTTAAGGTTCGCAGCCCGATTCGTAACCACTAAGCTACCAGTGCTCCATGTGATAGTTGTTTCTAAGTGCCGTTGAGTCAGTTCCAACTCATAGTGACCCTGAATAGGGATTCCAAGGAATGTCTGGTGAGTTTGACCTTGTCCAGTGTTTATTGTACAGCACCAAACCAGGACAGCCTTGTAAACCATAGAGAGTAGTCTACTCTGTCCAATAGGATTACTATGTGTCAAAATCAACTCAACAACAATGGCTTCAGTTTAGTTTGGGCAAGTAATATATTTGTTGTTGTTGTTAAGAGCTGTCAAGTCAGTGACAACTCACAGGGACCCTGTATAGGGTTTCCAAGGAACAACTGGTGAGTTTCAACAACTGACAACATAATCGTTAGCAGTCTTACAAGCACCACAAATGGTAAGAATCCAAGTTACTTAACATAGTTCAGGTAGCTGGTGATATTCTTCTGACAGAGCTTTCACTAGAAATAATACAGAGTTTGCTACAAATCAGGTGACATTAGGATGAGATGTTACTTTAAAATCTAATATAATCTTTTGTTGTTGTTGTTGCTACAAACTTTAAAGCAACTTAAAAACAATGTCTATACTTAGAAACCTACCCTAAATTTCTTGCCACCATCTTTAGAAAGTGAAAGGTTCAGAGATTTTGCCAAGGCCAAGTTGTCCTGCTTGGTAAGCTTTTTAACAAGGGCCTCAGTAATGTATCGGACTCCTGCATGTGAATCAGCTTCTGAAATTACAAAAACAGACTATCAGACAGGAAAACACAAAAATCAGAAAATCAAATTATTTTGATTTTATAGCATAAAAAACATGTTTTTAAATCCTGCATGTAAAATCACCTAGCTAATTCTGAGCACAATGCTTTAGTAATATTTTATTTTAGGTAGCATTTCAATAATAATAATAATGATAGGAATAGTTATAATCTACAAATATTAGTTCTGCCAAGCTTTGAGTAAATGCTTTATATTTTAAACATTTGACTTGTACAAAAAAATCCTTGAAATAAAAACTATTAACAACCTCATTTATAAAAGGGGAAATCATTTGCCCAAGAACTTACAGTCAGTACTTGATTGAACTCAGGCAAATGAATTCAAAATGTGTACTGTTAACCATATGCAACACCGAAGGTTTTAGTAATATTTTCGTGTTAGTCCTTAAAATAAACTAGCACTATCTAGTGAGGTATTTTTTATTCCAATCTAAAGTTTAGAAATATTTTTATTCTTAAAAATCCTGTTTTCCAATTTTTTTTTAATAGTGAAAACCCCTAATCTGTTGCTCTTTTAAACAGCATGATACACATTTTCCATCAATAAAGTGCTACCTTGATGGATAGCTAGATGATGGGCAGCATGCCCCATCAGGACTTTCTGGATATTTCTGTCAGAGTGTTAAAACCATTCTGCATTTTTAAAAAGCAGCCATTCAAAGAGGACTGTTTCTTCCTTTATGATTCAGAGAAAATTTAACCCTCGGTTCAGATGCAGGCTGTGGGTTAAAGATTCCCTACGCTTATTTAAAATGGGTTACGGTTATACTTATTTTGATTCAAAATAAATTTTTTTAATTTGGTTTGTTCTAGGAAAGAAAATGGCTGATATTCTAAGATTGGAAATGACAATGGACCAGCTGGCAGTAAAGGTACAGTACAAATGTTAGAATGTTAACTAATAAAAGCTGGTCAGCGTTCAACTCAAGTTTAGTGACTGTGATTTCATGACTTGGCAACAAGTAATACAGTTTTGTAAAGAGATTTCCAAAATAACAAAATGCTTTCAGTAAAAATAAATAAGTAAATAAATAAGGTAGAACACAATATGAATGACCCATACACAGAACTCCATCTACAGCCAGATAAGCAGTTTGCCAACAAGTAGACTAGCATAACCAAGCATAGATACAATTTTTACACTAAATTGGGCACTCCATTCTGAAGTAAAATAATGTGCCCTACTGTTAACCAAGAATGCTAATAAACTTGGGATGTGGGATTAAAGGCACCTCACACCACAGGAGACAGAGCTTCCTCTTTCTCTTTCTGGAAACTTCCTAATCCTAATCCTCCTTTAGATATCTTCATCTTCACCGAGAAACTTCTCCCACTGTCTTCAAACAATAAGTCAAGTTAGTACCAGCCCAGATGTTACATTTGGACCAAAAATGAAAACACAGTATTTCTCATCTCTATGTGGTAAAACATACCCTTAGATTTTAAAGTAATACCTTTATGGTCTTGGTAGCCTAAAGGAATATCGCTTTCTTCTTGCTCACAATACTGTCCTCCAGAAAGAAAAGGCGGAGTCTCTGGTCCACTTAAAGGTGAAAGCGACCGAGATCTCATATTGGATTTAAGAGATGCTGGATGAGGAGAGCGAGATGATGGTGGTATCTTTGCTCTGGAAAATATTCTTTGTTGAGGACCTTTCTTCATCGCAAGAAGTCTGCAAGAGTTTTCAGTAAATTTCATGAGGTTAATACTTTAGAGCTACCAAAGTTTTTAATTAGTTGTGTTTATTCTTAAAACACCATGACTAAATTTTCAACAGTACAAGGTTATAAACTCACAGGCTACCCATACTAGTGACTCACCCCAGTCCAAGTGATGGACTATGTCAAACATTTCTGATCACCTGGCCAGAGGGAAAATTTAATTAAATGCCAAAGCAAAAAGTGATACCTGTCATTTCTGTTCTCAATTCAGTGAAAAGAACTATTCACAAGGCCCTTCCTACCCATAAAGAGGTCTAGACTGGAAGAAACTGGAAATATTGGTCAACCAACATTTAATACTGAAGAGTACTCTCTTTTTCCTGAAAGTTTCTTCCTTTGGCCTCTGGGACTCTACATTTTCCCAAGATTCTTCCTGCCTTCCTGGACATTTATTCTGTTGCCGTTGTTGTAAAGTTATCATCAAACTGGTTCCAATTCACAGCAATCCTGCATAAGATTTCTGAGGAGTAGTAGCTGGCAGGTTTGAACCACCAATCTTGTGATTAACAGTCCAGTGCTTATCCTACAGTGCCACACCGGGGATCCATATATTCCCTATATACTATTGCTGTTGCTGTAGTTAAGTGCCTCCTTTATTGGCTCATGCACCTGTATTCAGCGTTAAAAGGTTGACATCCTCAAGGATTCCTTCTAGTGTCTAATCTCACCCTGTTGTTATGTGCTGTCAAGTCAGTAGGTGCTGTTGAGTCGATTCTAACTGCACAACAAAACAAACCACTGCCTAGTTCTGTGTCATCCTCCCAATCATTATGTTCAAGTCCTGTTGCCACTGCATAACTGCATAAATTCATCTCGTTGTACGTATTCCTTCTTTTTTGCTGACCCTCCATTTTACCAAGCATGATGTCCTTCTCCAGGAACTGTTCACTCCTGACACGTTCAAAGTATGAGAGACAAAGTCTCAACATCCTCGCTTCTAAAGAGCATTCTAGTTAGATTTCTCCCAAGACATATTTGTTTGTTCTTCTGGCAGTCCATGGTACTTTCAATATTCTTCTCTAACACCATTAATTCAAATGTATCCATTCTCTTTGGTCTTCCTTATTCATTGTCCAACTTTCACATGCATATGAAGCAAATGAAAATACCATGACTTTGGTTAGGCACACCTTAGTCCTCAAACTGACATCTTTGTTCTTTAGCACTTTAAAGAGGTCTCATGCAGTAGATTTGCTTAATGTAATATACATCCTTTGATTTCTTAATTTCCATCAGTGTTGACTGTGCCTTATAATATTGAGCTTTTCCATTGCCTCTTCCCATAGATGTGGTTAATTTGATTCCTGTGTAAAAAGGCACTTTCAATGAGTAAGTCATTAGTTTTAAAAGTCTATAATGCAATCTCCAGCACTATTTCTATCACCAAGGCCGTATTTTCCAACTAATAATCCTACCTCTTTGCTTCCAACTTTCACATTCCAATCACCAGTAATTACTTGACTGCATGTTTGATGAATTTCAGACTGAAGTTGTTGATGGAATTCTTCAATTTCGTTATCATTGGAAATGGTGTTTAGTATATAAATTTGAAAAATAGTTATATTAACTGGTCTTTTTTTTGTAGGCCTATGGATATTATCCTATCACAGACAGCACTGTACATCAAGATAGATCTTAAAATGCTCTTTTTCATGATGAATGTAACACCATTCCTCTTCAATTTGTTGTTCACATCATAGTAAACCATATGACTGTCCGATTCAAAATGACCAATACCTGTCCATTTGTCTAGTGTGGCATTGTGAGTTAATGTGCTGGACTGCAAAGATGATTTGAACAGCAAGGTCAACAGTTTAAGCTCATCAACCGCTACTCGAAAACCCTATACAGGGTTGGTATGGGTCAGAATTGGCTCGGCAGCACTTAACAACAATGCCTAGGAATATCGATCTTTATGTGTTCCATTTCATTTTTAATGACTTCCAATTTCCCATAGCCTTCAATATGGGTTGCATCTCAATGTAAAGAAAACAAAATTCCTCACAAAAGAACCAATAAAGAACATCATGTTAAACGGAGAAAATACTGAAGAAAAGATCCACTTTGCTTGGATCCACAATCAACACTCATGCAAGCAGCAGCCAAGAAAACAAACTACTTGTTGCATTAGCAAATCTGTTGCACAAGACCTCTTTAAAGTGTCCAAGAGCAAAAATATCAGTTTGAGGACTAAGGTGCACCTGGCCCAAGTCATGGTATGTTGAATCACCTCATATGCATGTGAAAGTTGGACAGTGAATAAAGAAGACTGTAACAGAATTGATGCATTGCGTTGTGGTGTTAGAGAAGAATATTGAAGGTACCATGGACTTTCACAAGAACAAACTGGTTGGTCTATGATGAAAAAGTCCAGCCAGAGTGCTCCTTAGGATCCAGGACTTCATCACACATACTTCAGACATGTTATCTGGAGGGACCAGTCCCTGGAGAAGGCAGCATGCTTGGTAACATGGAGAATCAGCGAAAAACAGGAAAACCGCCAAGAAGATGAACTGACACAAGAGCAGCAGCAATGGGCTCAAATGTAACAATTGGGAGGATGGCACAGGACTGGGGAGTGTTTTGTTCTGCTGTGCATTAAGTCGCTATGAGTCAGAACCAATAAGACGGCACATAATAACAATAGCAACTGTTTTCATAGAGTCATACTTCATACATTTCATGTTCTGATTACTAATGGATGTTTGCAATTGTTTGTTCTCATTTTGAGTTGTGTCCCATCAGCAACTGAAGGTCTGCAAAGCTTTGCTCCAGCCACATCATTAAGGTCAACTCAACTTTTAGGAGGCAGCTCTTCCTCAGTCATATTTTGAGTGCCTTCTGACCTGAAAGGCTCATCTGTGTCAGTTAACGTTAAGCTACTATATATAAGGTTTTCAGTGGTTAACCATTCAGAAGTGACCTGCTTCTCCTTCCTAGTCTGCTTTAGTCTGGAAGCTCCACTGAAACCTGTTGACCCTGATGGTATTTAAAGTACCGGTGGCCTAACTTCTAGTGTCACTGCAACACACAAGCCACCACAGTATGACAAACAGACACATGAGTAGTGGAATCTCACCTTAGACAAAGTAATACATACCCATGTGCTTCCAATATCACCTGTAAATTGATATTTATATCTTCAATCCCACCTTTCTCTGCGATCCAAACACCTGCCTACCTGATATCTCATCAGCATCCTAAACTCAAGATGCCCCAATTTAAATTCTTCAGTTTCTCACATAATTTCTTCAGTCTTCTCCTATCCTGTTCCTCCAGCAATGTTCCTTACCCGGTGAACAGCACTCACAGGAATAAATGGGAAACCTGAAGGTCATTCTTGACATCTGTCACCCAATCACCAAATCCAATCAATCCCATTTCCTCAAAATCTCTCAAATCTACTATCTTCACTCTTCAATCTAAGCCCTCATTAAATTACTTTAACAGTTTGTAACTGATCTACCAACAAGCTCTTTTGCTTCCCTCCTTTCCATCACTATACTGTATGCAGCAAGAAAGTCAGAGTTATCTATTTAGAATGTAAATCTCTGCATCTATGAATAAAGGAGGGGTTAAAAAATCACATGATCATCTCAACTGATGCAGAAAAAACATTTGACAAAAATCCAACACTTTTTCATGATAAAGACACTCACTAAACTAGGACTTCCTCAACATACTAAGGGCTGCAGATGAAAAAAAAAAAAAAACAGCTAACATCACACTCAATGGTGAACATCACAAGACCAGAACGTGTGATTGCACCACTTTTACTCAACACTGCATTGTAAGTTCTAACCAAGAAAATTAAGCAAGAAAAAGAAATAAGACATCCAGATTGTAAAGGCAGAAGTAAAACTATTTGCAGAAAGCATGAACACACATGTAGAAAATCTAAAGAATGCACAATAAAAACTGTTAAGAGCTAATACATGAATTCAGCAAAACTGCAGGATACAAAATCAACACACAAATATGCTATATTTCTATACTCTAGCAACGACCAATCTGAATAAGAAATTAAGAAAACAATTTTATTTACAATAACATCAAAAAGAATAAAATCCTTATGAAATATATTTAACCAAGAAGGCACAAGACTGGTACGCTGAAAACTACAAAACATCGTTGGAAGTAAAAGAAGACCTAAATAAATGAAAAATTAATCCATGTTCACAGATTAGAAGACTTAATAGTTAAGATGGCAATACTACACAGAGCAATATCCAGATTTAATGCAATCCCTAACTACCAAAATCCCAACACATTTTTTTCCAAAATGGAAAAACTCTTCCTAAAATTCTATGGAATGTCAAAGGACAAAAATAGTCAAAGCAATCTTAAAAGAAAAAAAGAACAAAGTTGAAGGACTGGCGCTTTCCAATCTCAAAATTTACTACACACACAGTAATCAAAACAGTATGGCACATCAGGACTGATTTTGAGGGTTGGAAATGTAAAGGTAGACATTTTGTAGCAAAAGGAGGGGAGTGATTGACTTTGCAGTGGAGGTCCCTGGGACCATCAAGGGAGAAAAGCAGAGAGCGGGACCCTACCCAGAGAAGCAGTAATGCCAGAGATGGAGCATGCCCTTTGGTTGGTTGATGATGCATGGAGGGGATTGTAACCATGGCAATGAAATGATATACATCTTCTGCCAAGTAAACTATCACATAATATTCTGCCATGTAAACTATCACATAATTCACATGAAAACATTAAATATATATATATGGCAGTGGCATTAGTGTGTATGTGTGTGTGTGTGTGTGTGTGTGTGTGTGTATATATATATATATATATATATATATATATATATATATATATATAGCAAAACCCAAATCCACTGCTACTGAGACGTTTCCATCTCATAGTGACCCTGTCTGTATCGGGTTTCTGAGACTAGAAATCTTTATGGCAACACCCTCATCTTCAATGGACTAGAATAGAGAGCCCAGAAAA